CTTCTGTCTATGTATATGTGAAGTCCTATGAAAAATATTGAATCATATAAAATTTATCATTGTGAGATGATGATTTTATGTATTCCAATCGCTGGTGAAAAACTTATAAACAACAGCCCAGGCAAAAATTTGGTAATGACCATATTAAATGCTACGCTATCAACAATGAAACTAAAAAAATTCATCTGAAATTGAGATATCTAACAAACATTATAGTGATGTCCTAGATTCTGAATGAATTTGCTCTTGGAAAATTTGTTTTTGGAGAACTGGGATGGGGTGAATTCCCACAATCCTATCGGAATTTTATGCACTCCATTTTCATGATGATGCATATTATAGTAGAGTCTATTCATTGCATTCCACCAATCTTAGCTCTGTAAATATAGGATGAGACATTTTCTTTTATACTTTGAGATAGGCCTCGTCTTGACCGGCTCGTCAAACTGTAATTAACCTTCCTTTAATTAAACTAGTGTTCTCTGCCCCGCATCTCTGCATTGTACCTCGAGTGGTCCGTACAGCTTTGTACTTGTGGAATAATCCAGGGCCTATACTTTCAAAAAAAGTGAAGAGATCGTAAGTTCATCCGCCAATCATTGACGGCCTTTTAAGCCAAATCCACCAATCATTAAGAAGAAAATAGAGCGTAAGTACTTACGTTCACTTAGCGAGTTTTGAAAGTATGGCCCCAGAATATTACACATGCGCTAAATCGGTGGTGCAAAACTGCAACATATACCGAACCACAATGGTTGCCGCAAAAAAATCCAATTTGCATGAATTTCTTAGTATGATAGATCTACCTAACAAGATTTCAACAACAATTGATGATAATTGGAGTTGGCAATTTGTTCTTTTGTCTTACGGGACTCTATTTGAAATTGCGAACACCGGCTCGCAATCATCATTACAATCTATTGATCTATCTTGAGTGAGATGAGATCATTAATGAACCATAGCTTGCTTTTATCAGGCTTAACAGATGAGAATCAATCAATTCATTCCATGAATACCTTCATGTCTGACTATACAGGCACTACTCGATCGTGGACATGCTATCGAGTAATGCTTCGTAGTTATAAATGAAAATTACATATCGTATAATTTTTATAAATAACACATCGAAATAACAAATGATAATATATTAATACAAAATAATAATTTCGATATAATTTATTTCTTCTTATTCTTATTTCAAAATAATAATTACGCTTCGAACTAATATGAGCTTTCTACGTAGTGCCTCTCATTTGTGCATAGTTTATCAGCTGCCATGCGTGGCACCTGCCACACGCAGGGCTCAGTGTATCAGCTGCCATGCGTGGCACCTGCCACACGCAGGGCTCAGTGTATCAGCTGCCATGCGTGGCACCTGCCACACGCAGGGCTCAGTGTATCAGATTCTTATCACTTTCTTCCCTTCATTTATTTACGGTCCTGACTTTGTAATATGCCAATCAATTCATTTTAAATAATTTTGCCAATTTCGCAAGTAGTTTAGTAGATTTTTTACACGAGCGGCCAATGAAAAGTTATTGGCGCAGATCACATGCATATGTTAAAGAAATGAAATTTGGTAAATTGGTACATTTAAAATTGTTTATTAAGTCTTTATCAAAAATTAAACAAATTGCAATCATTGCACCGAAGTATCAACAACGACATTCATAACTATTTTACGTGGGAAAAAATTACATTTATCGATTTCAATAAAGTCATGAAGTCAGTAAATTTGTAGCAGTTTAGCCCTTTTAAATTTCTCGAAACATGGACAAGAATTTTTCTAAAAATTAACGGGATAAATATTTCATATTATTCATCAATTTGAGTTTTATTTTCCTTGCCACTATCCTTCGTAATAAATTATCTTGCCATTCCTCTCCAAGAAAAAGACTGATTTTAATCCCAAATTTCGTTATCATAAATAAGATTGAAACCATTGAATTATTCATCCTTTGAATATGAAATGACTTATTCTATTTCATGTCACCTGACCCCGACTTATAAAGATAATGTTAATGACAGTGGACTGCAGGCTACGGCTGCATGGTCCCGTCTGTATTGGTCAATAAGTATCGAAGATGCTATCGAATTTACGGTTATATTAAACCTGTGCAATGCGCATATGTCCCTTTTATTCTTTATTTTCAATTACTTTGAAAAAATGGCACAATAAACCGCTAGAACACATTTTAATATGAATGTCATTACGATAATACTTTGAGATTTCTCTGTACATAAATGAATGTCCATGTTGTCAGAATAAAATAAAATCTTCGACAAAATTCAGTTGCACATCCAGTATATTGGGAAAAAAAATTCTGGCACAAGAAATTTTCAAATAGGTCCATTTCAAAAAAAAAAAAAAATGTCGCTATTAAGACAGATGTGGTCAGGCTTCCGGCTGTTTTGGTACTGAAATCCTCTTTCTTGAAGGCATCGTTTGTCCCCATTAAATGCTGCTAACGACACATTCGGGACTCAAACGCTTTACGCGACATAGACTTGCAAAAATTCAATGCACTTGGCAGAACTGAAGTGTAATCGTGCGACTTCACGTGCGCTGATGGCAATAAAGAAGAAACGGCTCTCATTTGTTCGAAATTTATCAATTGTCGAAGTGGCACTGACTTGAAATAACGTTTATCCATTTATTTTTTTCAATAATTATATTCATTGTGTATTATTAAAACAATTATTCATATATACATACACTAGCTTAACGTATAACCTTAGTTTTCAAAAGAAACTAATAAAACGATCATATTATTATGTGATTATGTTTATTATTTCAGTGGAACGGAATAAGAATATCACTACTGGTACGGCGTCATGTAATAATCAACGTCAAATTTTTAATTTCTTGTTGAAGGATCGAATCATATTTCAAATTTTCATGTCAAGATAAGAAATCCATCCTAAGATCAAATTTATTGGCCAAATGTCGCTGCAGATTTCTTCGTGGCATAATATTAAATATTATGAAAAACTAATAGAACATGGTAGTTTCCAAGGACGTTTTTACTATAAGATGAAAACTGTCTTTCAGGAAAATTGTGAATAACGAGCCGTTCATTCTTTGATCGGCGGGGGACCTCAATAAGTGAGATTAAGTTCTTCTTTATACAGTGGACTGCATACGAGTACTACGAAACACATTCACAAAAATTGAATATGAATTTGGAGAGAAGTAGTGCGTGCAGGACATTCGGAATTATCCAGTCCGATGTGCATATTCTTCCAGAAGTTACAAAACATTTCACTGCAGTAGATTGGAGAGTGATTTTTATTTTGCAACACTTTTTTTTATTTCACTTCTTGTTGTTTGTTTGTTTGTTTGTCTGCTACAAATCTTATAATCGATATTCAATGTACTTCTACCAGTCCAATCGATCTGAAATTTTGCACACTTACGTAAACTTGAAGACAATGCATGAATCAATTGACACAACTAAAAATTTTGAAAATAACAAAAAGTAAAATATTGTATTAAAAAAATTTATACATTAAAAAATTTCAAATAATTTTTTAATGTTTTATTTAAAATTAAAAATTTATTGTACTTGTGTAACATCGGAGACAGTGGATTCTTTAGAAGTGTTGTCCTTACAAATTAATTTTTAAACGCATATTATTTAATATGAGAAGGCGCTATCAAGTAGACTTGGCACTCACAACAAGACTCGTGACTTTAAAACAGGAGCTTTTGCCATAGACAGCAAACACCTCGAGGTGAACGCGCATGAATGCCATATCTGGCAGATTCATACATCTTTTATGAAGGAAATGCATTCATACGGGAAATGTTCGTTAGATTTAACGTTAAATACTTTGAGATTTTCTGTATCTGTTGTAGTGAGCTCATGTTCCTCATTTTTAGTGATTAAGAGAGTTGATCTCAAAATCTTAAAATACAAATTGAAATGAGAGCTGCTTCTCTTTGGTTGATTTTATATAAATTATATAATATTAATGATATTTAATGTAAGTAAGAAATTAACCATACGTGTTATTTCTATCATATGTGTGAATTATTTGATAACATACAATAAAAAAGATACTTGGTGGAACAAAGAAGGTAAACGATATGTCGTATTGGCTCATTACCCCAATAGAAAATATGACAGTAAAAAAATATTAGGCCTATGACATCTTCAGTGATCGAGTTGAATATAGAAGCCTGAAATTGTAAAAATCTTATTAGAAATTATGTATAAATATTGCCAAATTTGGTAGGTACTATAAACTCGGCAAAATGGCGTTGTAGACGAAAACCTACCTAAAATCTAAAAACATAAGTTACTGGAACACTGGCCAGTCTGTATGGTTGGTAAATTTGTTCAGCATTGTCCAGCTCTACAGGTTCCTTAAATTACCCGAGCGACGACTTACAGGGATATTTCTTTTCAAGTCGCACATGCGACCAAGTCTCGGATGTAAAATCGATCGTCATGAACTGAAGAGAATTTTTCGACCAAAAAGTTTTCTGAATAAAATGGAAGTTTCATCAGTATATGAAAGTATAATAAGTAAGATGAAAGTTTGTAAGTAAAATGAAAGTATAATCAATAAAATGATGGTTTTATGCGTAAAATAAAAGTATTACAAGTAAAATGAAAGTTTTATAACTAAAATGAAGTATTACAAGTAAAATAGAAGTATTTTAAGTGAGATGAAAGTATTATAAGTAAAATGAAAGTATCATAAGTAATATGAAAGTATTAATAAAAGTATTCTAAAAATGAACGGTTGAATCTGCTATACCAGACTGGGAGGGCCACGTATACGTCATGCATCTATCACGGCGCGCCAGGCCTACGAATCTCTGATCAATAAACTCCATCAGCTGTATAGTGCGCGTCATCCCGGGGTAATTACCTTTATGTTGGGTCATGTGGTGCCTGCTTTATCACCGAAAAATATCCAGGTAAAAGCTTTATCTTTTGATAATATGAATAAATATGCAGGTAAAAGCTTTATCTTTTGATAATATGAATATGCATGAATATCCAGGTAAATGCTTTATGTTTTGATAATATGTCGATTACGTAGGCAAATAAGTGAAACTATTCAGGATTTTTCCCTTTACAACATGAAATGTTTTCAGTGTAATCGTTTGGACAAAAAAAAATTGGGCATTTTCTCAAACGAAAATTACGAGAGCTCAAACGCAGTCGAAACGGCTATGTTTTTCCTGCGTTGCTAATTTGTCTAAAACGATGTCGACAGTTCGATGAATAAACAAAATATTTTCTTGGAGTTTTGAATGAAGAACTTTGGGACCTTTAAAGTTGGTACTTTAAAATAAAAATTTCAGTTCTGGGGAAGGCTTAATGGGCTGCTTCGTTAATTACTTCTAATCGAGGGTGGCCAAGTATTAATCGTTAAACGTACGAAGACAATTATTTTTTTAAGAAAGTTCTCAATCATGTTCTATAATATGTATCGATAATAAATGCCGTCTAATGAATGTTGATCTAAATCAAATATCTTTTCAATAGTTTCCAAACCAGTTTTTTACAACTTTTTTATGATATCGTATCACATTGAAGTTCAATAACTATTCATTTCGTTCATAAATCGGAAATTTTGTTTTTTACATTTTCTAGGCTCAATTTAAAGGTCCAAAGCCATGCTTGTGCGTTCATTTGTTCGTTCACGACAGCCGTCGAAGCGCATGTAAAACTTTTACCTTCGATGATAACAAATTTAATTTCAATTTTTTTGGCTCCCCTTTCGCCGCCTAACACGTACGACGATTAGAAGAATATAATATAATATAATATAATTTAACATATGCCTTTTAAATTCTTAATCGGATTTATCGTTGCGCTTGCAATCGTAGCACAAAAATTCTCCTGACGGGAAGGCAGCTCCGAGCGGCGACCACGCAGTGAATGCTATAATATTCTGACGCGTTCGCTTATAAACTGCAGGCAAATGCGCTGATAAACATTTCCTACGCAGGAGTAACAAAAACCCGCACAATTAACAAATCGTCTCATTTTTTGTGAGTCTTGATAGTTTAAGTGATCCCAGTTTTAGTTATTTTTGATCTCATTTACGTTACACGCGAACATCACGATGGGAGATTATTTATTACACTCACTTTCAATATTTGGGGGTTTGGAAAGGCTTCACAATATTGACGTTAAATCGAAACCTTTCATTTCGTAAGCAAATTATATTTTTAAGACATTACCCCACATTTACTAAGCGTTTAAGAAGTTATTAGAATTAATCGAATACTTATTCCTTCCTCCAGACCAGTGCGCCAACATCCAGTTGTTCCCAGAGAGTGTAAGCCGACCTGAGGCGACAGAGCTGTTAGGTGAGGCCGTAATTCGATATTTATTTGCAAAAAAATATAACACCAAATCTGAACTTTTCCCACGATTATGTATTACAGCGGTTCCGTAAGCCGAAAAATGAACGCGATTTGTGTGGATTTATTTTTCTTTCTTACTATTTAGAATACCTTGAGGGAAACAGTAATCGAAGGTAAATGCTTTAGTGACGCTCATCATAACTGCTGCCTAGCGCGTACTGATTTCGAGATAAAGGACAAATAAAAATGAATGATTTCGCGATAAAGGACAAATAATATTTGCAATAAACTTTATTCGTATGCTTTCTTATAAAATTCTATTTAATAAACAATATTTTTTAAAAGATTACCAGCAAAATAGCAACTTACTACCCAGTTGGATCAAGTAAATGAAATAATAAGAAGTGTGCTGAAGCTAATAACTTTGTAGAACTTTTATTTTAACTTGGTTCTTCAAATCTTGCTGCTTATCACTGATAATTATCAAAGGAGGCAGTTCTGAAACTGGGTAAAATTTCTTTCTTTAACATTCATTTGCTAGAAAATTAATGAAACTAACTTAAATGAATTTATTTAATTAAAGCAACGCATTGCACAAAAATTATTTTGTATTTTTTTTTATCCCAAATCTGTTTGCAAATAAGCAGATCAGCAGCGAACCGTGGTCGCATTCGCCATCATCAGCACCGCCATGATCGTGCTGGGTTTAGTCTTCTCTCTCTACACGTTCAAGTTCACACGCTACATGTTCAAGAGGCTGGCTGCGTGTTGTCACCTCGTCGCAAGTAAGTTCACACGCTACATGTTCAAGAGGCTGGCTGCGTGTTGTCACCTCGTCGCAAGTAAGTTCACACGCTACATGTTCAAGAGGCTGGCTGCGTGTTGTCACCTCGTAGCAAGTAAGTTCACACGCTACACGCTAAATGTTCAAGAGGCTGGCTGCGTGTTGTCACCTCGTAGCAAGTAAGTTCATTAAGGCCCGCATGCTCAAATCTTCAGAAATAACTAAACTCAAAATTTCAAAATTTTAAGAAAGATTTTTTGGTCAAAAAAGAAGCCTTTGATATAATCAAAAATGCTTAAATAATCTAGGAATGACCATTATTATGTGAATAAAAAGCTAATACGTTATGTAATAATAAAGCCAATAAAGAGCTATTGTACTTTCTGATTATGCAAATAAACTCAGTTTTGAACAACTAAACGACTTTTTTCGTACACTGCAGCATTAAAAATTTTATCAATGATGCAGACTCGATGCATAATTAACAATCCTGAGCAGCTCCCAGGAGCACAATACAGTTCCCCTGAAATTTTCAATGGTTGTTAGGTTAAGGTTACGTCATTATTATAGAAGAGGAAAGAACAATGGCGTGACATGTGAAATATCGATGTTTGGTTGCAGGTGGTGCACGCTATGAGTAATATCGATGTTTGGTTGCAGGTGGTGCACGCTACGAGTAATACAGATGTTTGGTTGCAGGTGGTGCACGCTACGAGTAATACAGATGTTTGGTTGCAGGTGGTGCACGCTATGAGTAATATCGATGTTTGGTTGCAGGTGGTTGTACACTCACCGTGATCGAGGTAACGAGCAGCGTGGTGAGCATCGAAGCAAAGCACTTCCCCACGCGCCATCCCCGCGGCACTGAGTGGCATTACGGTTTCTCTTACATCATCGCCTGGTTCAGCTTCATTCTTTTGGTGGGTAGAAAATATCTAACCAATAAAACAATTGTAATATTTCCATGTATTCTTATATTTAATAGTTCTTCCTTGCTGTATTTCGAATAACTTAGGTGCCCATGAGACGCTAGTGTCCAGCTGCTCCCGGCCCTAGCTGCTGGTTCTTAATCGAGGCGAATTTATTTTGGTCATAAATACGTTTTTTCGGGTTTCAAAGGTGAAAAAAATTAAATTTCTCATGATGTAGTTATATAATTCATTTTCAATTATTTCCACAATTAATTTAGTCCCTTATAAAGAAAGGCGACTTTAGTTTTTTGACCAAAAGATCAAAGATGATCAATGATCATGATCAAATTAATAAGCTTCAAGCTTGTTTCAGGAACGTAAAACCAGAGAGTTGTGTTTTTTTCATCGTTCATCCCCATTTTGCGGGTGTTGGCACCAATTCATAGTATTCAGAAAAGCGAATTAATTTATTTAAAGTAATAAGATCCTCAGTATAACTGACGTTCCCAGTGAATCTGGAACTGAAATTATACTACATCCGACATTCATATATACTCGTACATGTTCTATGAGTTTTATATTTAACGGTGTAATTATTTGAAGACTAGTTCGTCTCAATATCTCTGCATACTGAACGAGTTTTTTTTCATGCAGGTAATCGCGACGATAACGTTTGCTGTGTGTTCCCGCAAAAGGAAAAAGAATAAAGCGCCCGACGAAGAATTTGCCCTCCAAGAAGAGCCTGTCATCATCGGCCGCTAAAAAAAGGACCAAACGCGCTCAAGAAATTCGCTATGCATCCCATTTCCAATTGTTAAGGAATCAAGTTACTTAAGTTCGAAATAATGCTTACCACACTCGAACCTGTCCGTATCCCAATTTAGAAACTAACTACATCAATATTTAACCAAGTTCCAATGTGGTACAAGTTTAAAAATAAATTTCAAGAAAACACTTTATATAGAAAATTTGGTTACTTTCCTACTTGAACAGTTCAAAATTCTTACATCCTACCTGCCAACGAAACTTGACACCTTACTTTTACTAATACTAATAGGTTAACCTTACTCGACATAAACAAAATATTCTGCTTCTAGGCGATGGCAATAATAAATAAACAATTGCTGCCCAACGAAAACAAATAGTGCGTGAAGAAAGCATTAGGAATGGGTGACTAATGTTTGCGGTATACAAGAAGATATCATGAAAAATGCATGAAAGATACACGGATAATATCGATGTTTGGTTGCAGGTGGTGCACGCTATGAGTAACATTCCAGTGCGTGATCTACTTATTAGTTGTCATGATATCTTCTCCTTCGAACAGCTGATGAAATAAGACTGTAGTAGCTTAGATAAGGAGTGACATCACTCCTTGATAAAAAAGGAAACTTTGGCAGTGGGATAATGGAAGATTTGTATTTGTAATCCGTACAAAAAATAACCGTAGTAACCACAAGTTATCAAATCATTAGTGGCTGCTATGAACCTGTTGTCTTCTTTAAAACATTAAATTTGGTTTCGGACGAGATACTCTTAATTAAATGAATGTTAGGCTAAGATCCTCAACATGTCGCGGAAATTACGCAGAGACACACCGTGGCAAGGTGTGGCAGAGCTCTCTGGTCGATGATTTGGATCCCTGCCCTCGCCATCCGGAATCCAGTCCTGTCTACAGTTGTAAACCGCACCTTCTTCTGTAAGTTAGTTTTCATCTATAAGATTCTCATTAGCAAGGCAGTGTTCAGGAAGTAATGCGGTTAGGACGGAAGTAGAAAAATTTCCAAAAGCGCAGATCAAGGACATTATTGTATCACTGTACGCTTGTCATGTCTAAACGTGATTTCAAGATTGCAGGGTGGCCCATAGTGGTTAAAGTTCAGAGTACCAAGATTGGCGCAGAGAGGCGCGGGTTCGATCCCAGCTCTGTGCGCCAGTTTCTGGTCAGAATCAGCGAGGAGGCCGGGCAGTTAAGCACAGCAGAATTGTAGCAGTGAGTTGCGAGTTCGAGACTGCAAAATGCTGTGAATGTTCTGCGATGTTAAGAATCGGCGGCAGGCCTACGGCCTAATAAACGCTGAAACCGCTATATATAAATACTCGTGCTGCTGCATTCAACTTTTAGCTTTCAACTATACATTTCTCGTATGGACACCAGCGAGGCAGTAACCGGGAAGAAAGTACTATTAAATGCAGCATATATCGTCATTTCCCGTAAAGCGGCCTCGAATTCAGCAAATAGGAAGCTCAGTAGCCGCGGAAATGAGCAGATTGCGAGCTGTCCGCACATCGGTTGTTCTGTACGTCGGATTCTCGTTGTCAGTGCTGCCAAGCTACAATAATCTCTACTGTTAACAAACATTAGAATGTTAAGATACGTCAGTTGCCATGAAATTAATTTGAAAATTTATCGCTCGTCGCATTCAACTTATGGGGGTGAGCACCATACTATAAGAAAGGCCGGTTTAAACAATTGCCGTTCATGTTTTGCCGACGAAAACCTAAGCGGCAGCGAGCTACAGAACGTCAAAAGGCCCGGTGGAGGAAACGTCAAACGGACCGGTGGAGGACGAAAGGAAATTAAAAGCATGGTTTCCGAATATATAATATACTTGCGAAAAGTGTACAGGTAATTATAAAGTGTCCACTCTGAAAGAACTAATGGACAAAGTCTTAATCTAGAGGGTAGCAGACAACTATACATACCAAGTGAGCAGAATACGGATGTCCATGATACGCGGGCGGGTTGATATTGTCTTGTCAGAAAACTGTATTTATAGCAAACATCCAGGGATTACGGAACAAGGTCGTTATCTAATAAATGCCAGTCTGTTGTTATGTGGTGTCTGGTACTTTATAGCCCGATTTGTTCACAATTAATCAGGCAAAGGTATAAAACGGAAGCTACCGAGTGGAGCTCTTAAGAATTTACATCTAATTTGCGATCCAAAGATGAATTACTTTAACATCGTGACTGGTCTAATAGACAGGAAAAATAGCTGCTATTGAATAACAGGCACAAAATCAAGCAACTCGCGTGTCAATTACCAGAATTTGCTCCGACCCAAAAGACGAGCCTCCACGGTGGTGGATGCAACCGCTCTAACGTAGCAGCTTCGAGAACAAACAAAGCGATTTTAATAATCGAAATAACGTTGCAACATGTGGAGGAATATTGAACATCAAGGGATAAACAAAATTTGGACATGATAAGCAAAGGTATATATAGAAAATAAAAATAAAATGTAGCTTTACAAAGCATGCATAACATAAAATATAGAACAAGAGAACAGTTGACTATAGTAAGGAATGTATTTGTAAATAAAAACGAAGATGATGAAAACTCAATTCTTATAAGTTTAATCGGGCAAAGTAAAGTCTAATTACGGATGTAAACGCGGTAGGTTGACGGGATAATTTTCTTCTCTTACTTTAGTTACATCCGTCTTCCCGTCATGCAGTTTTATCCCTTTTACGAACCTCATTGACTATTATATATAAAACGCTCAGAGCAGCAGATGCTTCTCCTGGAGGCTCTTTGCTCTGAAGGTCATCCGCCCCGTACCTATATTTCTTCTTGCATTACTTTTCATTCTATGAAATAAATTACCACAGTAACATTGAAATTTTATGAGCGGCAAACGAGTTCTAAAACTGCGAGGTTCCGACACCGTTAGTCCAGAACTGACGTGTAACGAGGCATTGCACCATCACAGATGACGAGAACGTTCAACGCTCTGACTGTAGTCGGATAAAATTCTCTTAACTCCGTTTGATTTAAACTCCGACGACTAGATCGAGAGGAGGGAGGACACAGATGAAGACCTTTTTTCGACCAAATTGGAGCCTGTTAGCGAATTGATTTCTAATTAATACAGAATGTATGATCTATATGAGCTATACAATGATTTTCATATCATGATTTTCGATAAAAGTGCGATAAATAAATTCAATGACAGCAGTCGAAAAAATAGATTTTTAGATCCATAGATGGAAAAGACTACATAATGCTAGATCAATTTTCATTCGTTAATACAAAATCAAATAGTGAGAAAAAAATATGTCCAGCGTGTCGGGAACAATACTGAATCCTCATCTGTTGAGATCGAGTTGCGCAGAAATACGGAGTTTCCATGAGTTGACCTTCCAGGGTCAAAATTATAAATGTTTTAATAAACTTATACGTTCTTATCAGGTCTGAGGTAAGGTGCAAAACCGAGCTTAAAAGAATCCGTATGGCTTCATTCTTCCCGTAATATCCACGGCAGATTTGACATCAGCAACTGAACGTGACTAGAGCTTCCTAAGGCTGCTGAATACAAGCGAATAATACGCAGCATACTCACAATCGTGAGCCCATTTTCCTTACATATAAATCTTCATTGAAATTTGAGAGCGTAACAAAATGTGCGACTGAATCAATTAGAGCATAAAGATATAAAGCGAAATGTGAGAAATTAAATACGATATGTTTAGGAAAACAATTAACAGAAACGTATTGAGATAACCTAACAATAATACTGTTAAAAATGGAATTGATTAAATAAAACGAAGAAAGTAAGAGCGCTACAGAAGCTTAATTAGCTCGATAGGCTCAATATCGTCAGACAATCTCATGAAACGTTGCAATGAAAACTCAAAATTATCGAAAAAAGTAACAGACATTAGTCTGTTACACTCCACGAACATTTTCGACCTTATTTTTTCAATTGTGCATAATTATGCAGGGCATTACAGGATTTGACAACACCTGCAGAGTGACCTGATTATTGCCTTCAATACAGAGATATTATGGTGCTCCTTTAAAGAGATGACCAAGCGAAGAATATGCCCGTAATAGATTATGTTGTAATAACATTATGAGATTAACCATCCTCTTCCTATCTTATTTTGTGAAAACATTTTGCCTCTATCGATAATAAAATCTTGAAAAAATTCTTTACTAAGCATTTATCAGAAAAAGAAGAATGCGTACGAGAAGTTGAGAACAACTAAAGATAAACACAATGTGCCAGAAGCACTTACGAATATTTGTGCCACGGCCGAACTAAAACCATAACAAATAATATGAAACAACTTCCACAGTAGAGCTTTACTTTCCCAACTTCCTTGTATTACATTGCAGCAAATCTATCATTATTTAAAACCGTAAAATATCTTATAAAAAATGAGCGCTGATCAATATAGAAATATTTTTTGGTTGTAGACAATTTTTCATAGCCAACATATATAAGGTAAACTTTCCATAAAATATATCTATGACAAAATACTGAAAATTTGCTCCATAGTATTTTGATCAATATTGCAGGCGGTAGATTCAATGTATAGCAGGAGGTAGAATCAGTATACCAGGTGGTAGTATCATAACACCAGATGTTAATTTTAAATTTCGTTATAATGTAAGCTCTCGGGCCATTGATTTCTGCCGTCGCTTGGCTCCTACAAAGATATGCACGGGGGCCTTGGACCACTTCAACAAAACTCCTTGTGAGTAAAATAACCACAGTGAATACCGTGTAGTGTCACTCACTCCAAACACTATAAAGCAAAAACATTATAAATGCCACGCAATAATTATCAGTGTTATTTAGATGCAATAATAATAATCATTACCGATAAATTAAAAAAAATATATCTCGTGGAGCGGCAGTGGCGTGGCTGAACCAAGCCACAGGCGCATGGTGACGCAAACATGAGCTTTGAGTATCATTACCAGTCTTTCAAACAATGTTTACATTTTGTCCCCGTATTTCATTTCGATGAATTAAAATCCATGTAAAATTTATAGCATTTTTGCTGACTGCCGCCTAATAAACACGTACAATAAAAGTTGTGCGTAGATAAACACGCACAATAAAGTTAAAAGTGCGTAGAAAAACACACGGAATAAGTTTAAAATTACGAGACACGCACATGACACGACTGCAGTAAAGTCCTAATCATTTGGTGAGAGATACGAGAAAAAATGCAAGAAGGCCAAGCCGAAGAAGGCGTGCCAGCGCAGGCTGAGGTTATCACAGGCGCTAGGCTATCACAAGAGGCTCGTCGTCTGAGAAACCTTGTATCACGGGCGAGTCGTCGTCTTCTGCAATAAAAACATCACAGTTGCTTCAGATCAATACTTGATGATCTGTAAACTAGCTCCAAGAATCATGTTTCCAAGTACATTAATACTAATTTTCGTTTTAATAATTATTTGCAATTATTAATGAACATGGATCACTGAAATGCTTCCTCCTGCAACAAAAACCTTTTTATTTACAGTAATTAGAGCAATTAGAAGTTCAGTTTGCCTCTTTATATCTTGCCTCTTTTGCCTAACGTCATAGCACCTTTTGTTTAAATTAAATTCAAAGGTTAAAATTACATGATTTTAAGAAAATTTTCGCGATTTTCTTCATGTGACAGTTCACTCTAGGTATTATATTAAAAAACTAATGCCTATGTATACAAATCAATCGAGCATGAGCGCAAATATCTGACCAAGGACGTGATCGCCAGCAGAAATGGAGGTGGTGCCCGAAGAGCTGCTGTAGTGGCTGCTGGTGAAGCTCAGGAAGGAGCGACTGAAGCGTCGGTTGCGCAGAACAAACACGGCAACCACGACCACCAACGCCACCAGCACCAGTGTCAGCGCCACACCCAGCCCAACCGAGGAGTGTTGCGCTTCTGCGGTGCCACCTTAAATGCACACGTTTTCATTACACGAGTCTTATAGGAAAATTCATACTGGGTTGAGCGGGTGTGAAGAAAAGTTAATTCAACAATTAAATAGTATGTAAAAGGGGCTTACTGATCATAGCTCGATGACTAGTTGCCTGGTACACGCAGGGTAGTTTAAATGAATAAAACGCTCAAGTGTATGCGTTTGTTGAGCTGGATTACGTAGATAAATTTTGAAGAATGCATGAAAGCATTCATGTCCCCACACCTCCTTCGTTCACTCAATAATACTCTCCACGGAGAGCACCAGTAACGAGACCTCGGCACTGCACAGGAGTCACGGGGCATTGCTAAGCTCACCGAGCGGAACCTCAATCCTGATAGGAGAGCTCCTGGCGGAGACGAAGCCCGTGGGGGTGCGTAGGGCGACGGCGACGCAGTACACGTGACCAGGGAGCACGTGGGGGCACGGGTAGGGAGGCTGGGGCACCTCATGTTCCTCCCAACCCTGGCCAGCTCCCCCACAGTCCTGGCCCTCACGCAGGTACAGCGAGTAGCTCACGCTGTGAGGCATGAGGGCGTCGGGTGGTGTGATGAAACAGAACAGCTTAACCTACTAGGCTACTACCGCCGTATATCACTGTCCGAGTACATAAGTTTCACCTTAAATTATACGTAAACTATTGAGTGTAGCAACCTGAGGACGTTTGTACGTAACAGAGAACTTTTTAAAGTTGTCGTACGTGGCGGCAACCATCAGTGCAAGTCATTTTGCGCTCACTACAACGTGTTTTTTGGGAAGAAGGCTTGTGTGACAATATTGCTCCGGTTCCTCAAGTCAGCCAGTAGAGGGTTAAAAGGCAAATTACATCGTATGTCTACAATAAATTGGGCAGGTACAGCGTTTAACTCAAACTACTGGCTGGATACGTGCTTGATGATGCATTGAACACTTGTGCAAATTAACGAGTATGGGACACATTAAGTTAAACTGTCTAAGTATTAAACTCACTGTGGAATACCAAAAGAATATTTTATTGGAAGCTCGTTGATGAAATCGTATCTTAGCGAGAAAAAAATAGTTTTGCATGCATCTTTTATAACTAATATTTGACCATGAATATCGAAATGTCATGCACAGTACTTATTATCGCATGAGAATACCGGTACTGCACATAGATCGATATATTTCATGACAAAGAGGTACCGGTATATACACCAGCTCACCATCTCATCCTCCCAACAGCCTGCCTACAGCTACCAGCAATACTACTCGACAGGACAGTCAGCCATAAGCTAGTTTGCCTTAGTAGCACTCAGATGACTATTCAAGGTCCCGTTCAATCATCAACTGATTGCTACCGCTACAACAACTCACCATCTCGGTTTCACCATCATCATAATTCAACATCATCATAATGCCTTGTGGCTGCTGCCTTCCACCATCTCGGCTAGCCGGCAGCAGCCAAAAGATCTAAACGTCGTGTCCACGACGCGGCTGCCTCACGCATGCCGGCCTGTCCTTCCATAAGTCATTATAACTAAGAATCAATGATAAATGCATTCATTTAAATCCATCTAAAGTGAATAATTTATAAGCAAATTAATTTGGGCACGAAAACACCTCGTACTTCACAGTCGTCTGTTCTACATATATTTGGGATAAATAGTATCAGTGTTACACTGTACGAGTAGTAGAATACTGAACTACAGAATTAAACAGATTTGCTAGCTCCATTTAAGAATGACGGACTCACTTGAGCAGGAGCAGGGAATGAGGGATGTAGGAGCTCTTCCTCCAGTGGAAGGAGTGGTCGGCAGGGCTGAAGGTGAGCTGGCGGGGAGCAGGGATGACCGGGGCGGTACAGGTGGCGGGAGGGTGGCTGGGGCGCGCCCCAGGGCTGCTGCTCTGCACCACTACGCTGTACTGGCCTCCGTACTCCACCTGAGGTGGTGTGCAAATATCTCAAGATTAATGGAATATTGATTCCTCATCAACATTGATGAGGAGGAATATTAATTTATTTTGAATATTGATTCCTCATAAACACTCTTGATGAGAAGCAGTATTAAACAGGAATGAGGGAGATTAGAGACTTTTAAAATATAAATCTGGATTTGGAGATTAAGATTGGGAACGCTAAAACTTCTAACACTAAGAATCAAAACCAATAATTGTCATAATGATCTTAAAAATTCACAAATACACAGTTAACATAATACAAGCGATATATAATCAGAGAGATATCGACCTCGTACACACACACCACTCTACACTCCCTGACCTGGGCCTCGTACACACACCACTCTACACTCCCTGACCTGGACCTCCTACACACACCACTCTACACTCCCTGACCTGGACCTCCTACACACACCACTCTACACTCCCTGATCTGGGCCTCGTACACACACCACTCTACACTCCCTGACCTGGGCCTCGTACACACACCACTCTACACTCCCTCACCTGGACCTCGTACACACACCACTCTACACTACCTGACCTGCACCTCGTACACACACCACTCTACACTCCCTGACCTGGACCTCGTACACACACCACTCTACACTCCCTGACCTGCACCTCGTACACACACCACTCTACACTCCCTGACCTGGACCTCATGGAAGAGCAGGTGCGGCTCCCCAAGCGTAGGCTTGCCGGGCACGGAGATGTACGACGTTCGGTTGCGCGTCGTCTCCACGATCGTCAGTAGGAAATACGGCAGCGAGTCAGGCTCTAGAATTTAATTAGGAAAACGATGCACTTGAGCCTCTCAATAATTATTGCCGAATAAAATTGGACAAGTTGGAACAAAAACCAATCGTTCTCATTTTTTTGTGTGCATTTTCAATGATAGAATTTTTTTTAATTTTGCTGGCATCGTTACATCAATGATTTTGTACGTTCTAAATTTGCATTAGCGTGTCTGATAACATCTGTCGTACTATAGTAAATATAGAATATGAGAGGCCTAACAACCTGTAGACAGCTGCAGTCAGCGGCCACATTCATGTTGTCTTAAGTTCAAATCGTGATGTCTACAAAACAGTATATTGCGGAAAACTGATGAATCATTTCTGGCGCCATGTAACCCCGGCAGTTAAATGAGTGCGTAGAAATTATGAATAATAAACAGAACACAAAATAAACAGGAAGCCATTGAAGACTTTAATGAGCGTTCCAAGTCAATGAGCATCGAACGTTCGTTTCGGGACGTGACAGCAGGGGCGAATGTGGTAGACCAATTAGCTTCAAATTTGATCAAAACATAAATACATAGAAGCGGAAGCGTCGGTGACACGACAATGGTATATTAAAGTTACAGATAAATTGATAGAATAATGGTATTCAGGAAACGAAGACTAGTTTAATTGGGAATCGGCAATAATGACTGATAGTATTACATGAAACGGTGGGTATCACGAACACTATCTCAACAACACATATTGAAAATTGTGCGGGAAGGCGACCCACGCACTCAGGAAGGCATTGCATGGTTATAACAACAGTTGCAGGAACCATGGTATGATATTATTCATGGTTGGAAGAATTAATTATTGCGTTGATATCTTTGGGAAAGCCTAGAATTAGTGCAACGAGGGAGTATCATCACCGCAAAATTAACGGTTATGGATGTTTAAACATTTAACGGTTTAATGTGAAATTGACGGTTTAAGGCATTAAACATTTTGGAGACAAGTTCTCGAAGATCCATGCCTCTAGTTAATTGACACTAAACAACGCAGAAGAGGCTCCTAAAGAGAAGTTCCCTGCACATTGAGCGCGACAAGCCCCAGCTAAGTGAGAGTCTGACCTGACGCAGCGGGCGGGGGCGAGAGCGAGCAGGGCGGCTGCCAAGTGACGCGCATCGTGAGGTGCGACACGCGCGCTGTCACGTGAGTCGGGGGAGCGAACGCGTCCTCGCCGGTCATGACTTGTACCTGTGGCATGATACTGTAACTTGTACCTGTGACATGATACTGTAACTTGTACCAGCAACACGAGATTCATCGCACAGTCATCATTAATAATGCAACACATCCCAACCAAGCATTATAAGTGGCTCTGCATAAGAACTCTAGCCCAGGTTCGACCTCTTGTGGAGAGAAAACGCTTGCGATTCCAAGTCTAGGATCCTCAACCTATTTATTTTGCAGGTATTATTTAAGGGTGAAGTTAAAGGCCAAGTTAGCTAAAAGAAGCCAAGAAGTTAAAAAAAGTTAAAGTAAAGCTATTTCCTTGCTCTTGAATTGATTTGCTTTTGGATATTTTCTTCGCTTTTAAATTATCTATGGGAATAATCGTCACCTGGGCAGCAGGGCCGTACCCCAGTGGATCTGCAACCATCACGGCCAGTAGGTACGTCTGGCAGGCGTGGAGGCCCCGCACGACGTACGACGTGTCCGATGTTAGTGCTGAAGAATCGTTAGAGTTGAACCCACGTCGGAACTCCGAACCGCTGTTGCCCCACAGAATCTTGTATTGCCACACAACCTGCAAGAAAATTCCGGACCTCAAGACAAATGCTATGTAAAAAACAGTTGCCGTTTTTGTTACATTAATTTGCTTTAATTGATGCGGCGAGCATTGGAACCTCAATGTTCGTTGCAGCACTTGGGCCAGGCAATACAGCAGAGGTCGGAATTTAGAGGCCAAAAAATCTAAGTAAAATCAGGGCGAAAAGACATGAAGGTTTAATCTATAAGAAAGTTAAGTGAAAAATAATAGGATAACGCGGAATAGATTGATAGATTTGTGGCAAAATAAGACCACTACTGAGTACGATAGTAGAATCCGTTGGTGGTGTAAGCTCTGGCGTCACTGGCAACAAGAGGTGAGGGAAGGTCCGCATAAGTCAACTTACTAAAAATAATTGGGTACTTATTCTAGTGGAAGTGCCGGTGAGTGAGTAAACAATCTTTTTTACGATCGTTCGCGTGTCTAAACATATAAATCACCATAGGATATTTTGCATAATCGAAAATTTAGAAGCAAAAAAAAGTGTCCACTAAATTCAAAATTTTTCGAGTAAAGGCATAGCATTTTCGTCATTTTAAAATTCTTTTTCAAGTTTACATTTTAACAAAGTCATAAAATAAATATTTTATATAGTACCTTGCGTTTATACGAGGGCGGAAGCCATGAGAGTTTGACAGAAGTAGGAGGCATCTTGTTGACGCGCGCAGACAGTTGCCTGACGGAGGTGAGAGGAAGGCCGGTGGTGGTGACGGGCAGAACTGACAGAGGACCCATGACGTTGCCTAGGGCGTCACCACTGCACTTGTCGCCCGTGGAGCAGCCTAACGCTCGCACCTCCACCACGTACACTATGCCGGGCGACAACCCCGTCACTGTAACATAACATTTGCTGAGTGCAAGTTACAAACTAAGACGAAGAAGTTAAAATCATAGAACAATGCCACATAATTAAATGCAGGACTACGATGGATAGTGAGTATAGTTTATGAACCACTAGGTACTAGAGAACCTGAATATTTATCAGGTACATAGAAACTATTCTTTGTAAATAGAAATAGCACTTCAAATGATTTAATTGCAAGTGTGCCTCATCATACGAGAAATAAATAATACAAGAAATGTCATGAACAGTTTGAGGCAGACTTTTGATATTAGGTTCGTTGGTGTGCAGGGTGACTCTGCCCCTGAGGAAGTCGTTCTCCGGCCTCGTGTGTGTGACGGAGTAGGACTGCGCTCCTGTCACCACGTCCCACGCCACCTCCACGCTCGTCTCGTCCACCTGCACAACACACGGCACATTACACGGCATGCTGGCATGCATGTAGTTTATTTATTTTAATGAGAGAATAAAGCGTAAATTCAACGCGTCGTACGATGGTAAACAATAGCGTTACGTTACGGCAATTGAATTTAATCAAACTCATCATTGAATAATAGCTGGTCACAATCTTAACACGCAGTTGCACCCTAAGCGCAATGTTAGAGTAACCTACAAATACGTGCCTGAGCAATAAGATTTTATAAGATATTAAACTGAATGATTGGTGAGCGCGACAATAGGACAGGAGGAGGCCTGACCGCGATGGTGCGTAGGTTGGAGGGATGGTCGAGGACGACGTAGAGTACCGTCACGTTGTTGCTGGGTTCGCTCCTGTACTCCGGAGTGTCAGCTGTTACCTGCATGTAGATAATAAGACGTTCATGTCAGAGTTTGCACTACCTATACAAAATGATCAAACCAAAATTATAATAAAATACTAATCGAACAATTATCGAGATTTTCAACACAAAATGATAAAGCAAGTATTCTGAAATCGAGTGGTAGACTTTATTTTTCCTTCACATGCAACCCTCTATTGACGCTGCAGTATGATGCAACAGCTCCGAACTGTACATCTAGCAAAGTATAATTATTTATCTACAAAAACTTGTTGTCATTCCTTTATATCATATTTTGGTTTTGGTATTGATGATAGGTTGTCTCATAACATTTATCAACTCCACCTTTTTCCGACGCCTCAACACGATTTAACTAGATTTGTCTGCTGTCAACGATACCAATAGCGGCGCTCGAAATCTGCTATTTTTTCAAAGTATCCACTATAAAAAGAATGATCAGTCTAACAAGACATTGTTTATCCGTTGGTATAAATACAGCTTAGGACTCACCCAGACGTAAACACGGGCGCCGTGGGCGAGAGGGGCGGCGAGGCTAACGGTCGCTTCAGTGACGTCACCGCGCACCACCATCTGCTGGGCTGGAGAAGGAGGCTCCATCCATCTGCCATAACAACGCATTACTTAACTTCACTTTATTTTAAAATCGTATTTTCAGAGTAAAATCGTATTTTCACGATTTCTCCATAGAATGAACCAGAAAGTTTGAACCATCTGGAACTATGAATTTTTCAGAGGGAGACTCCTTTGAATTTCTCAAATCAGAATGTATAAATGAAAACGATAGTTTACCAACACCAACAAAAGAAGGAAACGAGATTTTACTAGCAGCTAGTGAAAGATATGAGGCAATGTCCTAAATGAGAAATGTTAGTGATTCCTTCTATACATTGCAGGTCGAGGGAAAAATAAACGTTAAAAAAATACTTATTCTAGAGAAATTGATGAGATGAAACCTTCGAGGGATGGTCTCAAGAGTGTGAGATAAGAAATGTGTTTAGATGGATCAGATATAAATAATTGAAGAATCAAATGTTAAGACAGTAGTTGAAAGTATCCTACACTGTCACTCACACAGTGTAAGACTGGATGTGGCCGTTAGGATGCATGGGCGGCTGCCAGCTCACGTGGATGTCCTCGCCGGCTTGATGAGCTGCCACCGCCTGCACTGCACTGGGCACTGTCGACGATAATTATATATAAGCTAACAAATAGTTCAATGATGTTAAGTGATTTCTTGATGGACGAGTTGAAATAAAATCTTTAAAACTTCATTTTCAAACCTAGTTTAAAAATATTTGATTTGATTTATTTGATTTATTTATTCACACAGGAGCACACGTTACAATGAAAAATAAAAAGACGTGAAATAAAATAGCAAGGCTTCCAGGTGAATGCCCATATAAGCTAAAAAAGCTTCGCAGGCAAAACAATAGGTACAAGACTCAATTCCCCAATGATAACAAGACGATAAGAACAAATAAGTAACAAATTTATAAAATTAGCAAAACCATTGACAAAAGCCTTAAAAACTGATAACCGTATGTCATAGTAGAAAAATCAGCAAAAAAAGATCAATGATCAAAGTTAAATTGAATTGAAAACATAGAAACTTTAATTGGAAATGATTCAGCATTACAGGTTAATCAGCGCGTAGACACGACACTTCTGACGAGGTACTGACCGCCCTGCTCGGTGGTGAGAGGCAGCGTGTTGAGAGCGAGCTCCTCGTGGACGCCGTCGCGTCGTACGAACACGCGCACGAGGTACGGCGTCGCCGGCGTCAGGCGAGTGAACGTGTACGTCTGATGCGTTAGGTTCATGTGAATGCGTTAGAAATAAAGTGTGCTGGTCTTGAGAACTTAGTGATAATATGCAAGGGAGAAGGTAGTTTGTAAGGGCTGCGTGCAAGCTTTCATTTTCAGGGTTCGTTTTGTTGTTCACATCAACAGACATCAATGGAACGCGTCTTGTTTCTGACGTGCTTTCCTACACACGTAATCCAAGAAACATGAACCAACACGGAGAAGCACAAATATATAAAATATCCACATGGCAACTTTTTTTATATGGCAGTCTCAATAAAAATGTGATTTGCAATCTGTGGAGAGCAAACAAATAACCTACATTTCAACTTATTAACTTTCCTTGAAAAAAAAAGAGCAGCGCGGGAGAAATTACCTTCTCGGATATCCACTGGGACGCGTTGTGCCAGGCAGCGGGGTTGCCGATGGCGGCCTGCTCGATGATGGAGGGCAAGAAGCTCAAGGAGGCGTTCGCTGCACCGATCAGCCTCCACTTGACGCTCACGCTTGTGTTGGTTACGAGCAGCGACGACAGCGACAACTTGTGGCTCTGACAGACCGTGAAATGTATGCAGAATGAAGATATTTAATATAATATCTAGAAAAATAATAAGAAGTTTGAAAAAGCATGGAGAAACGAACTCAGAAATTGAGACAAAGCACAAGCAGAAAGTGTTTTAAGGAAAAAATGTAATGCTGCAAAATATAGATTTACAATCTATTAATAAAAAACTACACTTAGTCGTCATTTATCAGGAACATACCAATAAAAACAACTAAAGATAAAGAAAGACAGTCCCTCACTGCAGTCTGGTGCTGGCACGAGATCTCGTCCGAGAGGTCGAGGCAGTCTGTGTTGGAGTCACACCGAGCAGACAAGGGCAGACAATCGCTACCATCGCACACAAACTGACCGACGGGACATGACCGCACTGTTGTGTTGCTGCCTTTTGTCGAACACCCAAGCTCATCTGACCTGGAAAAGGAGGTCAACAAAATCATTGAGTAACAGCAATTTTATTGTAATGGACACGAGTGCAATGTACACTAGATGCTTACAGTCGTCTTTGCATCACATGAATGGCACAACATTAGACCCTGGCGTTTATTACAGAAGCTGAGTCAACCAACCCATCAGCACAGTCGTTGGTGCCGTCGCAGCGCTTGCGTGCAGGGAAGCAGCCCTGCGAGTGCAGGCAGCGGAAGAGCGCCGTCCCATCCGAGGCGTCGTGAGGGGCGTACGGCTTACACAGGTCGCGCTCGCTGCAGTTCTGTTCGTCCTCGCCATCTGGACAGTCTTTTACACCATCGCACAGCCACGATAACCACAGGCACACGGCTTGTCCTGTACTGTTGTTGCTGCTGCTGCACTCAAACTGGTCCTGCACACGTAATTAATAATAGTATTTAGAAATTAATGAAAAAGTTGAACTGCCAAAGAAATTACTAGAGGAAAGACGACAAAAAAAGACTACAGCCCACATTTTTATATTTCTTAGCAAATTTCAAGATTAATTTCGACACTATCAAACGGGTAGTAACAAGACCATTCACCGACACTCACTACATTGCAAGATCTGTGGGCAGGCTGCGGGGTGGGGGATATCGTTGTTGTGTTGGAGTTCCAGGGCAAGAAGCAGCCTTCCTCGTCGGAGTTGTCGCCGCAGTCGTCGAGGCTGTCACAGCGCCACCAAAATGGCACGCAGCTGCCGGAGGCACACTTGAACATCAGAGAGGAGCTGCAGTGGCTGCCAGCGACCGGAGGCGTCACGGTAGTGTTGCGGAACGGTGACGCAGTCGTCGAGATTTCGGTGCAGTTCACTTCGTCTGAACCATCGTCACAGTCTACTTCGCCGTCGCAATGCCAAAATCTTGAAACAAAGAGAAAATTGCTTATTTTGGTTGAGCTGGCAAAACATAGAAGAATAAAAAGGAAACAATCAATTAAAAGTCAGTAAGTAATGATGCACCGCAAAAAAATGAGTCAAGATACGACGCAGTGACTAATAAAAAAATTTAGTTAATGCCGCATTAAAAAAAATTATTCAGCCCATACTCTCCACCTTAACTTCACAGTTGTCAGCACAAGAAAATAAGCTGATAACAATCAGCGAAGCTGCACCACTGCTGGATTTCTCGACGACTACAACTTGACGCCATAATTGTCCTCAAATGTGATCACAAGGAACAAAAACCGCAGGTCATTATCCAAAAGTGGTTAGATACAGTAATCTTGTTCAGATTTTCAGGATCAATTCTTATGTTGTCTTTACTCACATATCCAGTCAAGCTAAAAGAATAAATTTACAGCTGGTGGTGCAGTAAAATCTTATCAACCTCAACATTAACGTGGCTCAGGATACGATGGATTGCTTTAATGCCACACCTGCTGCTGCTGCTGCACCAACACCTGCATCGCTTAATTATCCACCTATGGCAAGTACAGGTGGATAATTATTTATCCACCTGTACTAATTATCCACCTATGATCAGTGAAGATGGTGAGTTAGTTAGTTCGGTGGCCATAGTAATTGCTGGCGCTTCATAACGAACTAGGTCGCGTTGAAAGTGACACTGTGCATCGCGGAGTAAAGATCAGAGAGAATCACATGTATTATATGTTGAACAGATTAAATGCTGTCGAATAAATTTATCGCTCTCAGGTACTCTACAAGGCGTTCGACGTTATTGAGCTCCACGCTCTGGTGGGATGCTTTTGAGGTGTTCGTCGGGCAGCTCGGGGTAGGTGAGGGAGAAATTACCGTCGGGCATCTCCGGAAGACGGGCACTCACAGAGGAGGTGAATCACTGTCTGGGGCACCAGGCTGTCCAGGCAATAAGGAGCAAGCGCGCGTACCATGAGCTGGAAATGGATGATTCTGGTGTGTACAACGCGGAGGCGCATGAGGCATACCTCCACTCGGCGTACAAAAATGGATTAGGATAGCCGTTTACTTTTTGCGCATTTTCTCATTTATGGAAAAAAATGCCCTATTGTGCTCGTCATGTTCGTCTGTCTGTCCGTGACTTCACGTTTTCGTCGACGAGAAAATGCGCTCTCTGTCACTCACTGCAGTGAGTACTAAGTTATATTTTTTGTCATTTCGCGGAGTTTATTGTTTTTAGCCGTGTCCACTGATCTTACCACGCGTTAAAAAGCTCTTTCGAAAGATAGGGTTATAATCACTATCATTTCAAAGTGGTGTCTCTTCAGCCGCTGTACTGCATGAGAGCTCATCTGCGGCTTCCTTGCCGTGTCTCTGAACATGGCCAGGAACCCAGCAGAAGGTAACGGTTTTTTGGCGTGCAGAGAGTCAGATTAGCCACCTATGGATGTTGGCATGCACTGATGGCCGTGCGGGATGGCTCAGTTGTCAACGGGGCATGAAGAGAAGAGGTTTCTTTTGAAGAGGCGAGCGCCTTGTTTTAGGTACCCTTTTCAGGGAGGGATCCAGGCTTTCCCACCTTCTAGTTCTATTCATTCTGGATAAACCGGAAGACTCTCAGGGTATAGGTATCCTATTGCAGCATCTTTGCTGTTAGGCGGGCCAACACCAATCAATGGGAGTCAATACCCCTTCCACCGACAGCCCGGGTTCGAGGCGATCCTTAAATCTAACCCCAAGTATACAAAGGACCTTTTAACCAGTAACTACCCGGGTATGGGTTGTTTTAACTTCATGTGGTCATGTTTTAAACGGATGAGGTCTTCCCCATGTTCTGGGGACACGATGACCGACAGCAGCCTGAGCCGCCGCCCCCCACCGTGCCCCCCTCACTAGTCTCAACACTCAGGTTGTGCAAATTTGCCAGACTGGATCTACTAGAGTGAGGCCCTGACAACACAGCTCCAACTGTCATTGCATTACGCAAGACCTCCCTTTCTAGCAAGGACTAAACGACATGGGGAGGGCCGAGAAACGTACACAGAAGCAAGTTTAATGTGCATTGCGCAATATTTCAGCATTAATGCAGCGCGATATTATTACAGATATTATGTTTCAACTGAAGCCTAGCACAGTGGAAATGCAGTTGAAATATACAGTAGCAAATTTTGTTTAATATCGTATTTTAATTCTCTCTATCAGTAATATGAATCACATAATAAGGCTTCTTAATTCACCATTAATAAACATTATAATGAAAAATGAAAGAACGGGATAAACGAATATAAATAAATACGGAGAAAAAAATTTTCTGGCATCACCATCACTGAGAAGATTTTCTGAGCAGGGAACTCAAACTAAATAACAAGCTAGTTCAATTAAAGAAAAACCACTACAATTGGAACATTCACTATAGTCTGTGAATCTCGATTAGTTCTCTAATTCAGTAGGCTGTAATCTTACTTGCTGATGCACTGCCTGTTGGTGCACTGGAAGCGTCGGTCCGAGGAGCACTGATGCTTGTCGCAGTTCTGCTCGTCGCTGCCGTCGAGGCAGTCGTCGTCGCCATCGCACTGCCACGTTTTGGGCACACATTGCTTCTGTGTGGCGCAACTGAACTCCGTGCCTGGACATGTTTGTAGTACAACAATAGCGAGAGAATGCTTTATGGCACACCATTTACCTATGACGAGTTATAGATCAATCTACACAGAGCTGTCTCGGAAAAAACCTTAGCCGCCACCAATCATGACCTAACTGTACTTAATCGCATGGCTATCCGTTCATATGAAGAGAACCGGCAACAACAATGTTGAAGTTTAAATGTTAGCGTCTCAACGATTTTACATGCGATTAGCGTGATCTGCAACAGTAGACGTACGTGTGAAATACTATCATATCTCTTGCTCACCAGATAGCTCACTGTTGCTATGAAAAGAACATATTAATTCCAAGATAATTGATTCACTCATAACAATATCCGTGCAAAAGCTAAAAATTAATAAACTGTTTTGAAGCAGCGGAATGTGAACTGGCAATATTGACGAAGTAACAGGACTAAAGCGAGATAAAGCAAGCGTAAAATTACGAAGTTTAGCAAGAAGGAAGCAAGAGGCTTACGTTTGCAGTGATGCTGCGGCGCATCACAGGAGGCCTCGTCTGAGCCGTCATGGCAGTCGTCCTCGCCATCACAGCGCCATCTCTTGTTGATGCAGCGACCGTTGCTGCAACTGTACGCAACAATTATGGTAGATTTTATCTTAATATTGACCTGTAAAGATGGACTTGATGTTGATAACAGAGAATCCTTGTCAAAATCTCTAGTACAAAGATAGACTCAATCAATCGAACAGGAAAATCAGTCGGAATTGAAGGCGGAACCAAGAACTTAGTCAATCTCAAGTCAAATAAAATACAAGGTCAACTCAATGCACTTAATTCAATGATCGGGATTCATGACGCAGCAGTTCACTATACCACAACGTTTCATTATACCTTTGTTCACTGGAAGAGCTTTACGTTAAACAATATTTTCATGTAAACTAACGAAAAAATATAACTCAGTACGTACTCACTGCAGTGAGTGACAGAGAGCGCATTTTTTCGTCGACGAAAACTTGAGGTCACGGACGGACAGACAGACGGACGGACATGGCGAGCCCAATAGTGCATTTTTCCCATAAATGAGAAAATGCGCTAAAATTGAACAAAATCACTAACTAACGAAAAAATTGAACAAAATCACTAACAAAAACATATTTAGATAGAAATTCTATTAATTTGATAATTTATTTTCATATGTTACAGGTACCGGAAAACAATTCTATAGCGAGTTATAATTCAACAAATTATGTCCATGAGGTTGCTGCCGAACCCATTACCAGTACAATAGCTACAACAATGGCATCTCTCTGGCTTAAAAAAGTACGTTGCTGCAAAATCAGCATTGCAGGAATGTGGTATCTGTTAGAGAAACCTAATGCTAACATGGAATTAATTTTGGAATTATGCTTCAAATTATTAATTTTCCATCTGTAATGGAAATATAATATCAATCCTATTAGACATTAATATAACGTTTCGTTAAAGACACGTATCCTAAGGCCGTGTAATTCGAGTTCCGGTTAGTGGGTAAAGGTTTAGACCTGAACTGAGTGTCGGAGCAGGGGTCGTAGGTGCAGTCCTGCTCGTCGCTGTGGTCTAAGCAGTCGAGGTCGTGGTCGCAGCGCCACGTAGACAGGATACACTGACCGCTGTGGCACTGCCATGACGCTGCGTGGCAGTCTGACTCCGTACAGCCAGCCTGAAACAAACGCGCTTGCCTTCAATGACCTGACACTATTCTGTACTGTAAGTTAACTAACTATCTTTTACATTCTTGATTTTCAGACTAATTTCATGGTTGATAGTAACTTTGACAACTCTAATTCTCAAAAATAAATAAATGTCGAAAAGAATTGCAAAATCCCCGTAAATAGTCCAGTCGTACCTCATCGGAGTTGTCACCGCAGTCATCAGCGCCATCACAGCGCCACTGCGCGGTGATGCAGTGGCCGTTAGCGCAGCTGAACTGATGTGAGGCAGAGCACGAGGACGGAGGAGGCGGGCAGAGACCTCCTTCCTGCAGGGGCGCTGAGCCGTTACTGCACAAACACAGCACACCAGAGGCGTTCTGCAGCGTCTGCACGAATAAAACCAAAACTGTAAGCTTGGATCTACTTCAAGCTTTAATCGGGAAACGAAGCAAACCCTGACAAATTTACTAACTTTAAGAGAATAATTTTCAAATAAGTCTAGAGAGTGTCAAACAAGATGCGGCAAGTTTATCTTCTAAGTTTCTTATAGATAGTGTAAGTAAAATGTAATCATCAGAATACGCTTTAAATAATGCGAGAACTTCATCTCATTATTCGTGGGAGGCAACTCACGATCATGTGGTCAGGACACAGGCACGTGTACTTGTTGTTCGGCTTGCCAGCACAGATATAAGAGCATGGGTTACTCCTGCAATAAAAATTTTCTTGTAGAAGGAGTTCCTGTACAACAAAATAATACAAAACACAAGAAGTAGGAAAAATTAACGATTTTTTTTTAAATTAACTCTCCATAGATTTTTAGCTCCTATGGAGTTTTTCCTTCAATCATCCGAAGTGGCCACTACCACATTTGTAAGATTCAGATCACTTGAATGACAGCATGAACTATAAATTTACTGAATTTACTAAATTTCACTGCCGAAATTTACTACAACATATCCATTGGTTCAGTAAATGTAGTTAATTGACAACACCGCACCGTGTCATCAGCCTGATAAACCTGCTACAATGTGTCATAGACCAGCCACTGACTTGCAGGGATTGTCTCCTTTCTGGGACCAATGGGCATAGATCTTGAGATCGACGAGGCCTTCAATGGACTCATTGGCGATGGGTGTGATGCCCCAGCCATGCTGCTTGTCGGCGCTCAGCACCTGACGGCGCACCGTGTCGTCCCAGTACACGAGGCTCTTGTGGATCCCTACTGCGAAAGGCCGCTCAGCGTTCCTCTGCAAGGGAAGGTCACAGTTGCGTTACTTTCATACTAAGTTGGGTGGTTTGTGGGTAACAGGAAAAAACGAAATGCTTTGACGACTTTTTCAAGAGGTTGAAAATGCGTGACATTAAGTAATATTAATTTCAACTTAATATCTTGCCCGACACAAAACAGCTTTTAGACCAAAAACCAGTTTGGCATGCAGACAATGATCCATAATATTATGACTTATCACTGCTCACCACCAATATAGTTTTGCCTTGTCCGTTGAAGTCAGAAGAGGCTACAAAGTCCAACTTGGCATCCACGAAGAAAATTCGATCATCCTGGAAGTCAATGGTGATTCCATTCGGCCAGCCCACCGTGTTCCGACCGAAGAGCATCTGTGTGTGAATAGCTAAATCTGTTGAGTTGTTCTAATTTGTTAAATAAATGTAATATGATCTCTAAACGGATACAGAGCCTTAAGTGAATTCCAATTCAGCCTATTTTGAACGTAAGCCATGGTGAAGTGTGCTCGCTATGAAATTAATTCAGAAAAGAAATAGGTACATCAATCGTTAGCAATGATTTGAAATCATGAAAGTATCTGTCAACAAATTAATATGTATCGAACGAAATTGCGAGACGCTTAGGCTACCTGCATTTCGCTGCCGTCGAGGTGGGCTCGCGACACCATGGGGTTCTTGTTGGACCAGTCAGTGAAGAAGAGCAGTCTGCGAAATTATATAGTCAACTCAGTAAGCTTTTCAGCAAAATGATTATACAGGTCATTAAAGCAATTAAAGTTTCAAGTCTAGCAAATGAATTGACGATCTACTTTAGAAAACTAAATAAAAATATTAAAAAATATTTAAGCTTCATTACAAGTTTATTATGTGAAAAAATCTGATTACAAAGGCAGTGAAATGAAAAGTGTACGCGGAATAATACCCTCGGTATCATAACAAAGGCGTGAGGTATAATACCCTCGGTATCATAACAAAGGCGTGAGGCATTATACCCTCGGTATAATACCCTCGGTATCATAACAAAGGCGTGAGGCATTATACCCTCGGACGGGGTGGAGCGCGATGCCTCGGGGGCGGTCAAGTTGCGTGCTGTTCAGGAGCGTTGTTCTCAGCACAGGTGGAGGAGGAAGAGACGAGTGCTGGTCGGAGAGACGCGATGGAATTTTGATCACAGAGATGGATTTGTTGGAGGCGTCCACCACGTACAGGTTGTTAGAGATCCAGTCCAGCGCCATGCCTTCGATGCGGTCTGTGCCGCTGTCCACCACCACCTCTTGGCCGTGCTTCCCGTCGAAGCATGAGCGCTGCAGTAATAAAGTAATTATCAACAGTAATATTAACAAATTATTTGAAAATATATATAAACGGTGCAATGACTTAAAAAGAGGCTAAGAGGCTGTTGAAATAGAGGCTAACTCATTTTAAATGCTAAAAGAAACCAGGAAAAACATGAAATTATTGATAAAAAAATTTGTAAAAGCAGAGCAGCTACGATGAAACGTACTGAGGCAAGTACAATAACGGTGTATTATTCAAAACAATAACTGTGAAAAATAAAATCGTTCAACATATTGACACGAAGCATTACTGATCACCAAACTACATAACAATCGCAACACTACAAACGTACAAGTATATTTTTGAGCACAACGTCGGCCCAGTAGAGGCAGTTGTTGGCCAAGTCGAAGTCGAAGGCGATGACCATAGACAGCCCGGACAGAGGCAGTGGCTGGAGACCCTCGTCAGGCTTGAGGAGATCAAACCTCAGCACCGCTTGGCGGGCCGACACTAGCAGGAACTCTTGCTCCTCACTGCATGTAACCATAGAATCAGGACAACTTTAATGATAACTTTCATTTATTTCGGTAGCGATACGAAACTGAACGTTATTTACTGTGGGAGATAAAAATGGGAGAGTAGCATGGATGAGGATCGTTGGAGTAACATGGATGTGCATACTTAAATCTGCCGTATCAGACATGTTCGACTTTCATGTTACAAAACTTCAGAGCAATGCCTTACTCTGATCAACTATACATGTGTTTCTGTTCAGTAATGTTTAAAAAAATATAAATCAGTACTCACTGCAGTTAGTGACAGAGAGCGCATTTTCTCAAAATCGACGAAAAAGTGAAGTCACGGACAGACGGACGGACAGACATGACGAGCACAATAGGGCATTTTGCCATAAACAAGAAAATGCGCTAAAAACGTTATTCAAGAGTGGCATATGTCAAAGTATGTTTATGATACACCAATAGTTAATCTATTGCAATAACCTCAATCCATAACACGTAAGCACAAGTTGTCAACGCAGGACTGCACATGCATGTAATTGATTACGACGGCAGACAAATGGCAGGGGCGAGAAACACCAAATAAAATAAGGCCGCCATAAGGCATAGCTAGAAGCCAAGCACTACTCACAAGAGGGGACACGGTGTGAGAACAGGATCATAGAAGTGGTTGAGGCCGCCCTCACAAGTGTCACCAGGTATCTTGCGGTAGCCGCGCGTGCGGTTGTAGAAGTCGCCCTCGCGGCACCGAGGCTGCTGGAGCGCAGCCGCCGCCGCGCCCTTGGGTGGCACGGGCACGACCAGGGCGTCGCTCTTGTCCAGCACACACGCCTTGCACGAAACGAAATAACCACTCAGTATTACATGAAAAACATTTATCTCGACAAGTATAAACGCAACAGCGGGTGAAGTAACGTATTCGGGGAGTACAAAGATTGTTTAACAGGACATGTGAATCTGAAAGAAAACGAGTGGTATTAAGTGTGAGAGATGGCTGGCGATTAAAGAGCTGTATGCATAGGTAGCACAAACACTGAGTATGTAGAAATTTCAGTAGTAAGAAAGTGGTTACATTGATAAAGAAGCTAGTTATAAGCTGGAATATCAGTATTTATCTGTAGAAATCATTTTGAGCTCGAAAAAATGACAAGAATAGTTTCCTTTTTGAAGAATGTTGAAGGCGAATTACTTTTGATGCACACAGTATCAAGTATCCCAGAATTGCTGGAACAAACCTGCTTTTTGAAGGCCACGTCAATCCAGACGGCGTCTTTCGGTGCGGTCTCCTGCGTGGCGTTGGCTGGCACCTCCACGGGCTTGCCGATGAGTGCCTGCACGAAACGTACCTATAATCTTTACAAGGTGAGTTTGTGGAGCAGCAAAAAAGTAAATATTGCTTCAATATCAAACTAATTTCAGTAATATCGGCAATAAAATTACCATATTCCTCATATATTATAACTTGAGCGATTATTCGGTCGGAGCAGAGTGTGTGTAAGTGAGAACTGGAGTCAGATGAATAAAAAGTATGTGGTAATAATATTGTTTCCGAACATAATAGATATCTGAATTCGGATTAGAGACTATCAAAATCGAACTGGAGTTCTAGAGTGTTCAATGATGGATACGAGGCGTGTTTCCGTGTAGGTACAGTTTTGAATTGCACAATCAATTAAGAAATGTTTGGGGCCAGGCAATATTGTGAGTAGAACAACCGTCCTCAAAATGTCACGCCTTTAATTTTGCATTGCGCGGTGCCGCCGCTTTTGTAGCGTCTTTTTGATTCTGCTTTGGTCGTGTTCCCGCGAGGCAAAGAAATCGATCAGCAATACTCCATTTCCGCCCTAAACCGCCGCGCACATGATTTTCGGAGCAGAAATATTGATTGAATTTACATTTCCTAAGAATGATTAATGCGGCCATCTCATTGGTTGCTATGTGAAGTAAGTGGCTATGAGTATCACACATGAAGTAAGTGTTTCGTTTGCTGTGGCAATACGGCGCATGATTCATCTCTCAATTTATATACTATATTGCTAAAAAAATTCGATACGCTGGCCAGGCGTTTGGTTTTGTGATTCACGTTCGGCATTTAGAGAACACAGCGCAATTTGTAATCATTAAAACGTGCAAACACAATGCCATCTCAAAACATCTCAGAAGGAAGGAAATTCTTCAGATGACAAAATCAGCCAGTTACATTTTCTTTACATTTTTTTTTATTAGGAACTCTGTACAGACTAAAGGTCGTCTGTTTCGTTCCCCAGAATAAATGTTCGCGCAGTCATCTTCGAATGACATATGCAAGATTCGTACAATTTCAACAGTCAAGCTGTCGCAATACACTTCACTGGTTTGGCAATGGGTGCAAGCAACTAAGAAGCCCTCAGCCCTGATAGAAGGCATTACGGTTAAGGCTACGCAGCGGATGCTAGATGCGTAGCCGGTTCTTAGAATCGCTCAAAGCGATGCAGACGCGATTGTACGGTTATGAAAGGACAAGTGAAGTTTCAGAACAGCTGTAGCGGCACGGCATGCATGTAGCGGCACCGCAGTACTAAGGCTGGGTAATTTACAAAATTTACTCTACAAAAGAGGCCTGGTACGCATAAATCCAGTCATGTAAATACTTCAAAGTATTTTGTCATTTCCAAAGTCTGACCAGGTAAGGTTTAGTAAGCTGTACAATGACTATACCCTAATCTCGTCGTGCGTGGCATCGCTGACGACGTATCCGTAATCGCATTCGTAGTCCTGACGAGAGCAGGGGCAGTTGACGACGCTGATGGGACGGTCGTAGCTGAAGCCGTTGAAGCAGTTCACCTTCGGCAGTCGTCGCTCGAATACCTCGTGTCGGCCCAGCAAACACTGAGGCATGGCTGTCAAAAAGTAAAAAAAAAACATAAAAATTCAACTACGGTATTTTCTAGAAATGAAAAAAATAGTTCACACAATCGTACAAGAATAAAACTTAATCTGTAACCATATTATCTTGCTCAAGACAAGTAAAGTAAAAGAGTTATGCAGAAAACCGGAACTATACTCCTAATAAGACTAAACAATACAAATAAACAATAGATTCCTAAGTATCGAGAAAGAAGTACACAATGAATCGAAAGATAAACAATACAAAATCAAAGACTCGGCATTAGAGGCAGCTGAGAGTTGATGCAGATGTCACTTACTCGTGTGAGGGTCGGAAGGGGACCAGGTTTTGTAGTCATCCTCGGTGCATTTCCCGGCAAACACAGGCTCCAGGTCAACCTGCAACACAAACACATACTTTAACGGAGGCCGCACTATAACAATTCACCGATTGCGTTATAAGTAAAACGATCTATGATGATTAAGTAAACGTAACGGCCGATTTCTCGCTTGTGTTTCCTGGGTTTAGCAAAGAAGCCGTCAGTGATTATCTGGCTTAGTTAAGAACTCTATACTATTTTTGATAGAACGGACCTTGATATAAGTTCAGAGTGATAATACAGTAATGAACTCTACGTAGTGTAAGGACATTGTTGTAGAGCATGTGGAAGACGTAGCAATGTTTGTCCTATCGAACTGCAGTATGAATAAACTACGGCAATGCTAGTGACATTTTTCCCTACAAAGACTTGGTAAGTCTATAAAAAAATATACGACGTAAAATATTCAAAGACTAAGAAAAGACATTTTAAGTAGTGACAATATTGAAGCAATAAATATTTTCTGAAATGTTATCATCACCCGTTTATTAAAATTCTCCACGCAGCTGCATAAACTTGACATCATACTGAATTGCTCACTAATGCTAATTTATTAATTGGGACAAATTATTATCACAAGAAGTGTTTACCTTGAAGACAACCCACTCATGCTCGCCAGGGGCGGACCCGAAGAGCAGCACCACAGTCGAGTTCTCGCCAGGCTCCGTCTTGAGGCCGTAGATGCGCACAGGCTGCACGCGTCATTTGTATCAGCACACTAAGCGATTCAAGTAGTTAAATTTATAAATTTTTGTTTAATGTACAAAGTTAACTCTTTTGTTTGGCGCACGGATACATGTCATTTCTATAATGGTGGCATAGTTAAACTTAAGCGGCTGGTTAAGAACATTAACAAATTAATACCACAATCATGTGGCTGTTCACACAATCATGCGGCTGTATTTATGCCCCAACAAAATGAAAATGACCCTTGAGGTCTCCAGAAAATTAACATTTAACTCACAATTTTGTCGCCATATTTACTTAACAGTAACAGCAATTTGATGACCGTTGATAAAAAATGCAGATATAAGGGATGCAGAGGCAAGCAAAAATTCTCTAAATGTTAGCAAGAAACACGATAGAGATATGAATGTTTGCTCAGGCCAGTTATGGTTTATTGAGGCGCCTCATATCATGGTCTAACATTAAAACTACAGTTTTGGCCATAAAACATCTTTGAGAGCGGTGAAATGAAAGGACAGCCATGCACAAGTGAGAGCTACGAGTAACGGTGGGAGCGACATGAGGTTATTGGGACGTTTTCTCTAGGTTAACAAGAGAACCCTGTTCAATTTTATGTAAAAACGGAAATAACGTCGACATCAAAACCCCGCTTCCAATTAAAAATCTGCCTACCAAGCCAAGGCAATTTCTAGATACCTTTAATATAACATTTTTCTTTTTATAATATATTTATATTGTCGTGATTACTTACCAGAGACCAACATTTAGAACCGCGTATGCACACTAGACTATAGCATTCGCTACCTGCCTACCTAAACGATAGAAACAATACGCTGGAAATGCTGTGCAATTTAAAGAATAAGATTAAGTCCGTGAAAATTGATTAAAAGAACTGAAATAAATCATACTGAATATGTGAAAGGTAAGAGGGATGGGTCTACAGGAAATGTTATGGCAAACTGTGGGCTCAGGGACAAGAAACAGATGATGTGTATAGTAGTAGTAGTAGTATAATGGTTTGCTAGCGCTTCAGCTATCAAGCTATTTCGCACCGAAGGTCAAAATATAACATCGCCAAAGAGGCGGAAGGTCTCAATTATTCAAAATCAGGAGGGACAGGTGAAAAGCAACAGAAACGAAGACACTCGAACAAGAGGTCGCTTACACGGGACGTCGGCCGCCCGCACGAGAGAGACAGAGAAGGGAAATGTAATTAATCATTACCTACATAATGAATAAATGTAAGGAATCCTACCTACATAATAACTTAACCCCACAACTGAGATCTGCAGTCAGACACCGCGAGCTCAGCGGTGGGGCGCTCAGGAACAATCCCTCTAGGAGCGCGAGATCCCATAGGACTTCTGACGAGCACAGACACCCGTCAGAAGTCCCCCCTGAGGGGTGATGTGTATAGAGACAGCGTTACAGGTGGGGTTGGTGCAGAGAAAGAAATACAAGTACAGTCCTTGGATTTTTATTCTTGCAAAGGTGTATGTATATACAGGTTTGGGTAGAAAAAGAAATTCCATACACCATCTTCATTCACTACTAGAGTTTACTACTCCATTCAATCGAGTTGATAATTAAAATTACTTTTATAATTACAAGCTTCTCAGGTACTCTTCAAAATAGACGAGATGCAGCTATGGCATCCCAATTCTAGTCGCGGGTCAATTAGGAGCTACTTGTCATTGTTATTTACGGTATTTACACGCGGTATTTGTTGTCCGTAAATAATGTTGTCATTGTTAGACGCGGTATTTCGTTCACATTGACGCATATAAGTTAAATTACGATCTATAGCAGCAGGCGCGCGGTGTATGGGCACTGACTTTGTCGAAGAACTCATGGGGCGTCCAAGTCTCGCCCTCGTCCGTGGAGTAGAAGAGGACGTTGCTCGCGCCTTCGTTGCGGAAGTTTTCCACCGCCACCATCAGTCCGCCGTGGTCAGCCATCACGTACAAGTAATTGCCTTTTAAAACCTGTACAGGCAAGAAAAAATATAATTTTCAGATGCATTATACATTTTTCTCACACTCTTTATGTTTTGACATAAAACTTACTTACGATCCACTTCGTAAGTAAGCTTAATGAGTGGCAATATAAAAATTTGTCAAGATGTTAGGTTTTGTGGTTTAATATTAAAAAAACTACGAGATGAAGAAAAATAGGCAGATTCTCTAGAATTCTCTTGCTGGATTTCTTTTAATTTATTCCATGACCGAGAATTTAAGAGCAGATAAAGCGCCTGGTTTATTTACTAATTCTTCGTTGGACAAACCAAAAGGCTGGAAATCTATCCATTGGCTAGATGCGGATTGTGAGTGAAAACTAAAGAAGAATTCATTGCATTTCACTTTGAGCTTTGAAACGCAATTTTGTCTTCGAAATTGCAGCCAAAGGGCTTAGTTTGAGAGACTAGAAGTCTGGGGAACTTCGTTCATGTTTCTTAGCGTTTGCTTCAAATATCAATTTTTCAATCAACACGCTAAGATTTTCCCCAAACAACCGAAAACTCCAGAGATGCTTTTTTCGCGGAATTGTAACAGGAAACAACTTATGAAGTCACTTGTGTATCACTCAGAGTTCTGAACAATATTAGTAACATCAGAACAATATGCATCACAGTGATCACACTGTTCGAAAAAAAACAGTCAAAAAATATAACTCAGTATTCACTGTAGTGAGTGACAGAGAGTGCATTTTCTCGTCGACGAAAACGTGAAGTCACGGACGGACGGACGGACGGACAGACAGACAGACAGACGGACGGACGGACGGACGGACATGACGAGCACAATAGTGCATTTTTTCCATAAATGAGGAAGTGCGCTAAAAACGGTCTTACCGCCGTTCTAGTAACCATTCAACAATATCAAGAAGGCAGAAATAACATGCATGAACGAGTAGTTACCTGGCGCCATGACACTCCGGCATCAGTGGAGAGGTAGACGCTGGTCTTGCCCTTGAGGCTGGCGCCCACGGTGCCCGTGGCGAGCACGATGCCCGGCGCAGACTTCACCGTCAGGATGCTCTCCGTCTGCGTGCCGGGGTACAGGCGCGCCAGCTGCTGGCTCAGATGCAGGGAGCACCCAGTCCGCTGTGACCACACACAGTTAATTGTGTACATTGTTTGGTGAATGAGGGGGCGATGTTAAGTGAATGAGGGGGCGATGTTCAGCGAATGAGGGGGCGATGTTCAGTGAATGAGGGTATGTATTAATATTAACATTTTAATATTAATACGTACTTAATAATTCTGTCTCAAAAACTCTTTTACTAATGTTTCTATGTCCGAACTCATCTATTTAAGGGGAGCGTCTACCCTAAAATTGAAAATTTTCACTTTTTCGGTTTTTATACTCATTTTAAAGCTGACATTCTGCCCTATCCAACGGTACCACTGCCATATCTGTACGTTGATTAATGATTTCACGACATTTCATGAAAGGGGGGCGGGTGGGGGAGTATTTATTTTTTACATATGTGTACCAAGTTTCAAAGTGATCCGTCTGTAAATAGCCGAGATAATTTTTGGGGTAGACGCTCCCCTTAAACATTAATAAAAATTAAGGGAATGTATTTGCTGTACCTACATGAAACAAATAGAGTTATACAAGTTCGGGTTCTGCTAAAGAATACAATGCCCGATATTCTTTTCTCTCATTATCACGCAACACTGCGCTGCATGGACCTGACGCGGCCTCTACACACGAGCCACTCACAGGGTCGCACGCTATGGGCTTGCCGTCCGCGTCCGTCTTGGGCGCGTCGATGGGGCGCCACTGGCCGCCGAGGTCGTACGTGATGAGCGTCGTCAGGTGCTCGAGGCTCAGCACGCCCGTCTGCTTCTGCGTGTAGTTCGCCGACACCTGAGACGCGATGAGCGCGCCGCGGATCCCAGCGATCGGGTGCAGGTCCGCGAACGCTTCCTCCTTCACCTCACTGGGCATCGTCATCAAAAAACGAGATATTATACATCGCCTCAAATTGTATAGTATAATTTGTTATTCACGCGGCTAAATAGTGTCTGTCTCTTTCACCCATTGAAAGCATCAACTAAAAATTGTCAAACATTGCCTCAAAGTGTATTGTACCAATCTGGTGAAACCAGATTGGTTCCCATTAAAAATTATAAGCTTAAACCTTCAAAATATGTTGAGTGCATTCAAGCTGCTTCTGATCTAGAATATTGCTATGGATGCAATACAACTTCCTACTTGATCCATGTGTTGTGCCAGGTGCCGTTGGGTTGGAAGAAGAAGATCCTGGGCAGGGAGAGCGAGAATTTAACTCTGTGCTGGGGCGACCGCGGCACGGAGCTGACGTAGAGATGTGTTGTGGTGGGGCTGTGAGCCACACACACCATCACCTGCAGCAACACAAAGCACAAACCAACTTTTATTTTTGTAATACAGGCGAAATATTTTAGTTCAGGATTGAAACTAACTTTTAACGTAATACAACAAACGTGCTCAGTTCCAAAATAAGTTCATAATGGTTAAACAAGGTAAACAGTTAATGAAAACTACAACATTATTTTCCAACCATACTTATAACAATTGAAGAAGACAATAATCCATGTTACCTGTCCCTGTGACACGTAAGGTATGAAGTACTGCTGGTGCATAAGATTGTGAGGGAACAGAGCACGCAAGAAAGGTCCGCCGTTGTTCGAGATCCACAACTGCAGGCTCGGGTCAGTTGTTGGTGATCCCAGCAATCGAACTTTTTTGATTGCAAACAAGAACTCCTCTTTTACTTCAAACTCGATCACGTCTGATATCACTGGTTCGGGAATTGCATCAGCAGACCTGTCATGAAGAGAAGCAATTTTTTCACCAATAACAATTGTATGCAAGCTGGAGTGGTAGAATCAGATACAGAAAATTCACGAGTTTATTGAAGTTTCACATATTTTAGAACAACACAATTAATATCAAAGTAACATGCTAAAATGAAAACTTTATATAACTAAATAGGAAAGTATCACCCTCAAACTTAATTTTAGCAACTCACATAGTAAATTTAGTGTAGGCAACCACAGAAGACGGGCCACCAGGCTCCCCACGATGCACATAAAGCTTAGGAGGCACTACACCTTCAGCAGACCAATGGTAGCCTTCTACATAGTAGGCGAGCTTCTGCCATGTCTCTCCAAAGTCGGTGCTCACCCAGAGCTGTTGTAGGTTCAAAAGGTACAATCAGCTTTCAAGGCATCTACCTAATTATGTAGAATATTTCCTGGCTTTCGTTATACTGGTGAGTGACAAATGAACCAAGTTAAAGATGGGGTAGAGAAGAAATAGGACCTACCTTCTTCTCAGGATCAACAGTGTCATGAACTAGAATGATTTCTGCATCAGTTGGGTGGTTGATCACTTCTGAAGGAGTGAAGTCTAGCTTTCGAGATGAAATATTTCTTCCACAATCCGTAGTTACAAACAAGTAATTGTGATGAATGTCCGTAAATATGAACTGTAAGAAAAAGAGGATCAATACAACAGGTAAATAAAGATGTTGCAAAAAAATTAGCCTGTTTTGAAGAATTTGAGGAATTTTCATCATCTTAACCTTAAAGAATAAGATAATATCTTTAGTTTATACTTTGAACAAATTTCCTAAATAGGTATGTTATGAATTGACACTTATAAAACAGTCTGGTAAGCAAGCATGAATGAATGTCTTTGTCAACTAGAAATATAATGCATACCCTTGATGTAAATTTAGCATTTTTGTAGAAATTTGCAATGATGACTGAAGAGTTGTCATCAACACGGAAGAAATGTGACTGGTTCAAGAATGTGGTTCCATAATCAAAGGAGATAAAAACACTTGAGTGAATCTGGGGTCGATATTTGTTATCACGGATGAGAGACACCACAACTCGACTGCCTTCTCCAACCCAGTCGATGAGCAGCTGAGTCTGTTCTGATTTCAATTCAAACTGAAAAAATAAAAAATTCCACAATCAACAAACCTTAACATAATATAAAATTGCTAATTCCAATACATTCCACATAAAATTTGATTGAAAAAATTCTCAATTCAGTTGTAGCTAACAAAATAGCTGGAGAATCATAAATGAATTGATAATTGTTAATAACAATTGTTATTTCATGTGAAAAATTCTGCATTTGACACATCAGCTAAAGCATTGAGCTGATGAAAAATTCTGATATGAACACAAATTAAGAGAATACGTAATAGGTTTCTGGCAAGCTATCAACTTGAATATATTTAAATTTTTATTCAGAAATATATACCCGGTATACCTAGAATATTAATAACATGTATTGCTTATGCAGAATATATACTTTTTAAGCCACATCTGGGAATATAGAGTTGACTACAAGTTGATCACTTGTCAAAGCAAGTTGACAAGTGATCTTCAAGATGCATTGTAAACATAATTTTCATCAAAATTCTTACAAAAACAACTTTGATGACAGTATCCTCAACACCCTAGGTATTGCAGTAGACAATTGCATCACAAGCCTCAGCCAACAACTGCAAACCGGAAATTTTAAAAACGATGCAGCCATTGGTGTATTTCCTGTTCTCAGGTTAGCATTGCCAAAGAATGAAAGATTTGCAAATATCTAAGATAAAATATCTTTAATTCAAATATGTTAACTAAATCTTCTGAAGGTGTATGTAAATTTTGCTGCTGATGCATTGCCAAAGATCTTCAAATATTCACCAACATTCTGCATCCTGGTATAATAATCCTTCTTACATTCTTAATGCATTGTAAAATGTAGACATGTGCATATTTCTTGTTTACAATTCTTATGTTGACCCTAAATAAAATAGTCACTACTGTTTGCCACCACATAACACAATAAAACTTGGTCCAATTGTTAACAAAAATGCACAATCTGGCCTCAAGATTTCATATATAGAAAAATAATTAATATTACAGCTGCAAGACTTCATTAAAAGTAGGAAAATTTGGTACAATCTTGGATGCTAGGGAGAAAAACATCTACGTACTCACTGAGAACCACTACTGGATTTTTTTGAGTCATGATTTTATGGATTTGCAATCCGTGATTCCATTTCTTTGAGCCGGGAATACCATATCCTGGCCATGAAAAACCATCTATGAGATGCAAACTCTGTGCAAATTCTGTGCACATGTTATCCCAAATCTCTAGTTCTAGCCTAGGCCTAGTAACAGCAACAAGAACATTTGTCTTTACTTGGCACATGTTTATTTCAAACTGTGTTAGCTTTTCTCATAACATACGTCTCGTTGCAAGTCGTTTGAGGTTTGTTTGGTAGTTGTTCAGCTTATGTTTAGTATTGGTTAATAGGTCTGAATCAAATGAAAACAGTGCAGTCAGTCACTCAGTCACTAGGTACTAGTCGTAGTTGGTGTGTTTAGAGGATAGAGTCTGGTAGATTTATAGGACATAAAACTAGTAGATCTATTGATAGTGTTGTGCACTGTGCTATCAACTACCTATCTGTTATGTGACTCTTCAATGTTTAGAAGATTTGCATCCCTGAAGTGTTGTTGTATATTGAAGCCAGTTAAATGGTCAGTAATTAGCTCATTACCTTGCTCCATACAAATTTTACAAAGCTAATTAATAGACTTATCAATAATTGTTTACCTAAAAGTCCCAAAGTGGTAAATTGGTAATGGTAAACAGTATTACAGTAACTTGGCCATTCTTGAAGGCAGTGTGGAATTCTGTATAGGTAATATATTCTCATGTTAATATAAGAAAACATATCAAAAAACCATCCCTACCACTGCGTTACACAACCTTCCACTGCAGTGAAAATTGATAAACTGAGCTCATTAAAAACTGCAGCGCTTCCAAAATCTTGTGTGGTTTGAAATCCAATCCTGTCTTGCCAACACCTAATCAAGTTAACTAGTCGTCTATCTGTAGGCTAGTGGACAAATTTTTGCAATGAATACATTCTAAAATAAAAAAAAACACATCCACATTCATAAAAAATTCTCAAGATTGGACAATACCAACAAAGTTTTCGATATCACACAAAATTTTGAGATAAACTGCCACTCTTTCACTGCGAGCGTTCACATCGGGCTTCTACGTTTACGTATTACAAGACGGTGTCACACAGACATACTAGTTTGATTTCACAATAAATAGATTTGATTCACATTCCATACTGAGATTTAAATGATTGAAAGTTTTTTTTTAATTTTAAAAACCCATTTATATGTTCCAGATTTGAATTTTTTCCATTTTTTGTCCTATTATGTTGAATTTATCTAAATAAATTCACTTCAAATTCCAAATGATTTTGTCTGCCACCGTGAGTTTTTGAATGTTTGGTGTCTTTTAGAAAATGTTCATTGTTTAAAATGAGAAACTATTTCATTAAATAAAACATAGAGCATGTACCATATAGTGCATTAATAATACAATTTAATTTAATAAAAATTAATTTTTAATTTAAAAAATATATTCAGATTTTTAATTTAACATTTTTCTAATAGAATTTAAATCTACAGCATGTACCATCTAGTGTATTAAATAATAAAATTTTATTTAGTAAAATTTAATTTTAATTAATTTTTTAATTTAATTTAATTCTACAGCTTCAACCGGTAAAAATGAGCATTATAGGAATGAAAGTAAAACTGTCATTCATACATCACAAATTGAATGACATTGGATGGATTTGATAGGTATTTTATTAATCCTGTTTATTTATAAGAATGGAAATGAAGCTTCTATTTCAGAATGATAATGGAAATGTCCCTACTATTTCAGAAACTTTTCTTGAATACACTTGCAAAAACTAAAGTTCTGTAATCAATGGAGTCTTTGAAATGACAAAATCATTCAATTTAAAATTTTTAGCTATATTAGTGAGATTGTCATTCATCAATCATCATATGAGCTGTAAGAAAAAATTCATTGTTTTTGATGTAAAAGAATGTTTTTCAATTAAAAGAAATGCAATACTTGATTTTTGGAAATATGATGCTAAAATTGATGATCCGTATTAGAATTCAATAGACGTTACGATATCAGAATTATGTTCAAAAAGTTTGTTTTCATTCGTTTGATCAAAGTTTTTGTTCGTTTGATCAGAAACAGAAAAAGTTTGATCAGAAACAACATAATTATTCATTCTCATGCACTAAGTATACAAATGATTAGTTGGACTCGGTTACCGTCCGCATTGATTATCCTGCTAGATTATGCACCAGGAGCGGTGAAGAGGGCCACAGAACATTAGCTATAGTCTGTAGTAGAATCATTCATTTACAATTGTACCTTAATGTATTTCACTTTTTATTTCATTACCTTTTGAGTGTCATGTGCATTTAATTAATCTTGTATCTTGTTCCCCTTGGTGTAATATTTAAGCAGAGTAAAAGTTAATGAGACGAAATTCTTGCAAGTCCATATGATATGCACTTTTGATTAATCTGCACCCCTGATTGCTGAAGTGGAAATTCACTGGTTACACCTGATTCTTTTCTGACCTTCAAAAGCCTGTTTAAGACGCCTTAATGCATGATCCGATCTATACCTCTGCTTGGTTAATCCCATCCTGATGCTCCATTTTGGTGAGTACAGTGCATTTCAGCTTATTAAAATGTCACCATGCTTATATTTGTCTTTGCTGAGCTCTTAACAAATGTTTTCCAGTTATTCATGCCTGTTTATATTGAATGATGGATGGTTTTCACTGGTTCTCATGTTAATCCTGTCCTTTTATTGCTCAATTTTCATTTTGCTTACTTGAACCATGTTGTGTCCACCCTTGAATAACTTACTTTCTGCAACCCCTTCCATGCATTGATGACTTTGTATGCGACAAAACAGTTTAAACATCCTCCTGATGTCAATATTTCTGGAAGGCTAGTTCTTATGAACGCATTTATTTGACGTTTAGGAGCGGTTGGTGTGGAGCTACAGTCTTCTTGATGAGAACCTAAGATCGCTCGACCAACTCCTGGCCATCAAGAAAGAAGATAAGACATTCCACCTATGAACCAAAATTTGATTTAGATACCAACTTGAAGTTGATGAGCCTTGTGCTTTTCCTAGATACTATGAGTCCAGACATGTAACAATTTTCTAGTTGTTTCTAGGAGTATAGTTACTGATTAGGATGCTAGTGTGACTAGGAGTATAGAAGTATATTTAATGACTTGTGCGACTTAGTAGGACCAGTTGTCTTTCATAATCCACTCATGAATGCCCCGTACATCAGTGAGGGACTCATGTTGTGTCAAGAGTAGTTGAAACTTAAGTCTGACTAGCTAATCTACCAGAAGTGCGAAATTAGGATTTGCAGATTTAATTCTTGGACTGCATAACCGTTTGCTTTTTTCTTGCTGTACTTTACATGTACATGTTCAACATTTAGGTATTGTGTGACCTAGTCTGCTTATACATTCCTGTGCTTGGCACCTATTTGTTTCTGTTTGCTTGCCAAATATCATTTGCTTTCAAAGTGTCCACTAGGCCCTAGATAATCAATAGCTCTCCCAACAGGCCAGGAAATGGCTACAACCCTTTGGGCATACTTCCTGCCATAAGGTAAGAGTTATGGTGCTGAGTGCAGCGTGGTTTGAGTGTGGTGTGCTTGGGTGTGGAATGTGAGAGTGCGTAACTTGGTCCACAAGCCACTCAGCATCGATCTCCATCATTCCACCAGTGGTTAAGTTCTGCCTTGCCAACTGTCACTCCTTGGCTTGTACCTAAAGCCTGGGATGGTTACTACTTGATTTATGATTACTACTGGATTACTACTACCTACTACTAGGGATGGTTACTGCTTGATTTATGGTTGTTAAAACCATAGTTGGCCTTGGCTAATGTTGAGTAAGACATTTTTATTACCCAGCTTGACTTTACTATTATTTCGTAGTTACTCAAAACTACAACGCTGAAAGGCCTCAGTGGTCCACTCATTAGATCACTTAACCCTTTACGCCCTGGCATGACGAATTCGTCACACCAGGGACTAGCTACCTTTTCCAACAATTTCACGTTTTCTGTCATTTTTTTGAAAAATTCACATGAATGAAAAAAGTCTTAGATTTATTTTTTACATATGTGTACCAAGTTTCAAAGTTATCTGTCAGTAAATAACCAAAATATAATTTCCAATGGCAATGTCCAATTTCTTATGGAAATTCTATTTCGGTTATTTACTAACAGATAACTTTGAAACTTGGTACACATATGTAAAAAATAAATCTAAGACTTTTTTGTTTGTAGGAATTTTTCAAAAAAAGTGAAAGAAAATGTGAAATTCTTAGAAAACTGCCAAAAAGGGGGTACTGTAGAAATCTATCTCCTCTTATGATTTTCAAGCTACAACATCGAGACGCATATCATTCGGTACGTAAGGACCATATCTATCGATTGGTCCTTGCTGTTTTTCAAAATTCTAATTTTTGTGGGTGGGGTGGGCATTTTTTGAAAAAAAATTATTTCTCCCCCCACCCTTTTTCAAAATATTTTCAAAACTTTAACGAAATTGAAAAAAAAGCTTCGACCAATCTCTAGATCTTTTATTTGCAAATCTAACGGTTTATTACTCATTGCTGTAGCTTAAAAACTCTGGGAGGAAATAGGTTTGCAGTGACAATAAGTGTGAATGTTCAGTAGAGTGCAACAAAGTCCCGAGCGCCTCGAAATAGGCATTCAAGGTGACATGGATGCAAGACTAGACATTACTGGAACCGAAATTCAGTCAAGGATAGTGGGAACGACTGCATGAGCACCATCCCACATGACAGCAGCCGGGTAACTAAAGATTAGCATCTTCAGGTTGCATATTTATGTGCCCAACCAGTAATTTTCGCCTATATTAAATGTGAAAGAACTCCCCCACCCCTAACACTTTCACGAACTGTCGTCAAGGCATAAATCAACGTAGAGATGATTTTGGTACCATTGGATAGGTCAGAATGTCAGCTTCGAAGTGAGACTTGAAACCGAAAAAGTGAATTTTACGATTTTTGTCCCAGAAATTCAGGGCGTAAAGGGTTAATCCAGACCACCAAGTGGGCTGAACTGACACCACTGCTAGTGTTTCAGTTAGACTAGGTACCATCCAGTTATTGTTGTATCTGCCATTTTGTATTTTGTGTTCTGTTAGTAGTAAATTGTTTAGTGTTTTCCATGTTTCTTGCCTTCCTGAATGTGACTCCTGACCTCATTCAGTATTTGTTTCCATGTCCACGGACTCAAGAGCTACAGTATCGCCTATTTGTGCGGGCTTACCGGGAACCGCTACAGCGGGATGCGGGAAAGAAGCTAGGTATTTAATTTAGTTACATGTTAGCCCATGTGATATGTAGTTCTGCTTGTCTGAACTCTGAATCCACTGTGCAGAGAATGGATGAATATTACAAGATCTTTGGCAAAGCTTTAATAGCAAAATTTACACCTTCAGAAGATCTTGCTGACACATTTAGATTGTAATTCTTGCATTTAATATATTTGTCAGTCTTCGGCCAACTATTTAAAAAAAGTAAGGTTTCCGGTACGTTGGATGGATCAGGATGCAGTAAAGCTTGTCCAGAAATTGGTTGCGATGAGTTCCCGGCAAAAAAAATGTAAACAAAATGTAGTTGTGGTCACATTAGAGCAATCAGACTGCATCATCACATGTTCAGTTTTTCATTACTCAGCGTAAATGGCTTTTCATTAAAAATTACCTAGCGATGCATTTTGAAAATGGTCGGCGACGCTTTGGGCTTAAAAACCCATATATTGGCAACGCTGCTTCCACCTTCTGCACCCTGGCTCTGAATTGCATGTTTAGTGTGCATGATGGAAAACTCTGCTTTGCAGCATAGTTATAATTACTTAATGAAGTTTAGTTCATTGTGGTCAACTTAAGAGACAAATTTTCAACTAACTAATACTTTTTATAAGTCTAATTTTAATTGTTGAGTGAAAGGTGCAGGCATACAACTTCCAAGTGATTAGGTACTTCATAGAAACTGAGCAAGTTAGCGTACGTGTTTTAAGCCTTTAAGAAGTTCATTTTTTTGCCTCAAATAACAGTGTTGGGTAGAAAAAGTGGTCTTGGTGGATTGAAATAATATATGAACCTTTGAAATTAGAATTCCATCCTGCTTTAAGGCAATAGCTGCCTTTTTTTAGCCATCCATATACTGTTATTGTTAGTAGGCACTAATTGCAACATAAAAAATAACATTTCAAAAAGACAAAATAACTGAAAAGATAAAAAATCATTGATTTTATATTTTTGATTTAAAAAAAATTTAAAAATCACCAACCCTGTTTGCATAGTGGCAAAGCAGAGAGTTTTTTAGACTCTACCTCAAGTTCATTTTTGAGTCCTATAAGTAGACCAGTAAAGTATCATTCATGGATAGGGTAAACGCGGTATATTCCAATATCGTAGGTAATTCCGTCACCTCTCCAGCTTTTCCTTTATATTAAGCTTTGTTTTAGTTCCATGCGTTCATTGATGGTTGAAATGGTGACGTCATACATTTGCTTGTCGAAATACTGCAAAAACACTAGGTCTTGGCCATCTAGTGGGAAAATATTGAGATCCAAAGAGAGACGATGCATGCCACGTGGTGAGATCATCGAAAAATGTGTCAAATTTGACAGTTGACATGGCTCTACCAAATAGTGAATAACTGTTTTTATAGGAAGAATATTATGGTTTGAGACTTTTAAATACGTCTGTGAATATATTAGGAATCCTTTAAGTATACTTGTATTTGCTGATTTCAAGTCGTAAATAAATTAATAGATGATTAGGTTGAGATGTTGGATTTAGACACATGAAAACTAATTCCGACACAACTTGAAAGGGCAGTTTAGTACGCTTCGCACGCCGAGGAGGGCACCCTCCGGTCCGCAAATCATCTGCAATTTTTCGAAGCTTTTGTTACAGGATTTCAGTACATGGGCATTACTTCGGCACTGTGCACTGTTGAACAACATTTGGCCTTATGTTATACGCACTTACATTTGGTCCCTTCCACAGGAGTACAATGTCCAGGAATTTTCAGAGATCTGCAAGTCGCAACTGCTGCCGCACCAACAGGCAGTTGGTTGGTCTGGCCACGTTGATCAGGGAGGACGTGCTGCCACGAGCCGAAGATTAGATTTGCAGGGCGGCACCCGTGCGGACTTGACGCACCCGTGACTGCTAACGCAGCCATGACGACCTGGTCCGCAACTCAGCTGCAAGTATTTTGAACTGATAAGATCAAAACATTGAATTGACATGGCCAAAAAAACTAGTTGTTCAGTACTTCAGTATATTTAATTTAGACATTATCGTCAGTTCTTCACTACAATTTTCTGTCTGATATTCCATAAAAACGAAAAGCAACAGCAAGTTCAATAACAGGGACGCTAAGAACATGGATGAACTGCCTATATTACATGTACACGGACATTACATTGGCATTGTATCCTGTTGAGCAACATTTGGCCTTATGTTATATCACTTATATGTACTTACATTTGGTCCCTTCAACAATGGTACAATGCCCGGGACTTCTCAGGGATCTGCAAGTCGCAACTGCTGCCGCTGGTGTGAAGAAGTGTTACATGGAACTGATGTGACTTCCTGTGTTGTGATGGGAGACAAAATGGATTGTGTTGTGCCAATTGGGCGTGAAGAAGTTTGGAAATAGGATTGCATCATGCTTGTCCCTCTAACATGCAAAGAAGAATGTTTCAGTTTTTCAAGATAAGCATTATATGCACTCAATCTTACCTTATGACCTTGACCTTATGATGAGTTCGGGACTTCCTAGTCCCCGGTCACGCTGATGCGCCGCCTTCGTCGTCCTCCGTCTCCGAGTCGTCGTCGGATGTAGCGTTGGACGTGTTCCGTCTATTTGCCCTCCTTTGGGCCAGCTGATGCAAGGTGCTGTTGCTTGTCACTTGCTGATGGTGGTTTCCCATTACTGGGAAACCACCATCTTTCTCAACCACTTGTCCAGTCGTCTTTTGAATGTTGCAAGGGTAAACTCCCCCTCCGCTCAGCGCTTTTGGCAAGGCATTAAAGAGCCTCGGTCCTACCACGGACAGTGATCCCTCACGAAGAGTCTGTACTCTGGCCGCGGCTCGGTAGGATTGTGTTGTGCAAATTGGGTGTGAAGCAGTGTTGCATGGCAGTGATGTCACTACCTGTGTTGTGATAGGAGACAAAATGGATTGTGTTGTGCCAATTGGGTGTGAAGAAGGTTGGAAATAGGATTGCAGCATGCTTGTCCCTCCAGCATGCAAAGAAGAAGGTTTTAGTTTTTCAAGATAAGCATTATATTCACTCAAGTGGTGACGCTTTAGGTGTTTAGTCAAATTACTGTAACTTTTTTTACTGAACTTTACAATTCCCCCACCAAATTTACAAAAATTACATTTAGCCTGAAGAGAACCAACTGAACCATTATCTACAGATTCAACATTTTTAAAGGCAAACTTAATTATAGGATGATGAGTAGGGGTAGCCATGATGTAGACTACAGCTTTAGAAGAAGAAAGATGACCTGAGGAAAAATTACATACATTAAAAATGAAAATAATCAATAATGTGTTATACAGTATATTGTTCAAGATTCAAGAATCAAGCAGGGTTAGCCATGAGGTAAAGTGGTAAACTGTACAGCTTTAGAAGAAGAAATATGACGATTATGACCTGAGGAAAAATTGCATACTTTAAAAATTAAAATAATGTTTTATAAATTGTTCAACATTGATATAATATTAAATTTTTATTTAACCCTTTCACAGGCAAGTTACCATACATGCCATGGTCTGAACCTGATGTGGGCTGATGCGTGATGCCTGATGGTCAAATTATAAAATTTAATATTTTATTTTCATCTACATAAACTCAATTTAATCATAAAAAATTACTTTTGAATTTGGGGAGTGACTGCATGTGTGCATCTGCATTAAACCATTAATGGATTTAATAAATTCAACTTCAAGTGCAATTTAAACCTGCAATAATGCAGCAATATGAATTACAGTCTAGACTCTAGACTCTAGAAAATGTATAAAATAAAAAGAAATAAATATTTTTTTACTTAATAAATTCCTATCATATGATTATATGAATCATAATAATGAATGTCATCTAATATCTATATTATAGTAATTCTTACTTAAGTTACTTTCTTGAATCTTGATTCTTGATTGAACTGAAGAAGGTATGTGTCTAATGTCTATGTGACATTTTACTTTAATAAATTTACGTTAATTGATACTTAATTTTAAAATTCACTGCCATTCAAATTCAATCACCATTCCCCATTGGCATTTGGAACTTCCCAAATAGCCAGACTGCGACTGGACTGGACTGCAAGAGCCAAGCCACTGAAGCCAGTGCCTGTGCCGGCTGTGCCGCAGCAGCAACAAGTGCTAGCAAGGCAGCAGCCAGCAAGGCAGCAGCCAGCAAGGCAGCAGCCAGCAAGGCAGCAACAGCATTCAGCAATGATGCGTCATGAATTCATGAATCATGATCACGATGCGTGAAACGGTGAACGTGTTACGTCTTACGTGATTAGCCTTACATGATGCAACTGCAAGAATCAAGATGCAATATGCATGCAGTTGCAGGGCAGCAGGATGCAGCATGCGATGCGAAGAGCCTCAGATTGCGAGCTGCGACGCCGACACGCAACGATCGTAAATCGTATTATCGTACTAAATGCGGTAACACTAACGGAAGTTTGGAAAATGGAAGTATGGACTATGGAACCTTACACGTCCCGACCGGATCCGACCCGACGTCTGGTCCGGACCCAACGTCTTAAAATTTAAAGTCCCAAATCCAAAGTTCCCAACGGCAACTTCCCATATCCATTCTCAACTTCTAAATTGACCGCCAGAGCGGCCAGAGTCCAGACCAAGAGCTATGAGTAGGATTTAGGAATGTACCTTAGCTTATGTAGGAATTAGGATTCTATATGTATCAAATACATTATTGACTCATGACTTCATGACATCATGACTCATGAGTCATGTCATGAAATGATGACAGATTACATGACTCATCGTCTCACTCTCAGCCTCTCAGGCCTCAATTTAAAATTTACTAAATCTCAACTCACGAGCCATGACTCATGAGCCACGCCCACAGAGCCAACGCCCTCGGCCGACTATCGTGCGTGATCCGGCACACGCACAGACGCACGCACTCATGGTTGATTTCGTTCATATGAAATTAGAAACTAACATTTAATATACAAAAAAACTTATACTACAGTCAACAAAATATCACTTACTGCAATCCTTTGTGCCACAGTGTCAAGACTGCAATGATCCAATGAATCACAGACACCGAGGAAGTTTAGTATCCGAAGTTCCGAACAGAGTTGAAGCCGTTGGGTCGTATAGCAGTAATAGCACAGCGAATGCCAGAGAACGTATCGCGTCAAATGACAATCGAGTACTGGCGCGCATCAGACTCAGAGCGCTCACTGGCAACGATGTTCGAATTTTCGAAACTTCTAGAATATCGAAGTTCGAATTTTCTAGAATATAATTTATTCTGTCGTTAACTCGTTAGTATCGTAAAATTAAATTAAATGTCTTTAAAACCACACGTTACATATATAATTTTAAGAATAAACGTTAGGTCAACTAATTTACGTTTGTTCAGAGATACATTGACTGGCATCGTATTAAATTTTAATAATAATTTTTCCTGTAAAACTTTTATCCATTTTGGATTAAACTTCTTCGGAGACCGGCCGTAAAGTTGTAAGAGAATAGAGATAACTAATTAGGTGCATACGAGCATACCCTTGCTTTTCCTAGCGGAAAAGGTTGAATCGACACTTAGAATAGAATAGAATAGAAGTGTCGGCGTTGAAGAAATAGGCCCATGGCCTGTTGCCGATTCTTGAACTTTTCGTGACTTGATTCACAAGGGATCCGGCCTTTGGAACCCGATCTTTCTACAGCTGAAATCTTTCTACACTTCTCCGAACCCGCCTGCGAACTCGAGCAACTGAAAGACTCATGAGTCCTTCAATACTGAACAGCTGATTTGCTTTAATTTGGGAATGTGATTATTTATTATGGACAAGCTCCCGCAGATTTTAACATGACTTACTTTTAATTTAAAACGAATTTCAATTAACCGACCGAGACCCTCATAATTCCTTTGATGGCGAACGGATATTTTTTTTATTTTTGAATAAGTAGTTATCAATACGCTGTGGTAGGCATTATTAGACAACTTGACATTAATTAGTTTGTAATTAAAACAAATAAACGTATTTTTTAAGCAACCTAAGCACTCATAGCTCCTATTCAGTGCAGAAAAGCCAGGTTTGTCTTCCGTGTGGGTATGAATGAATATGTGAATACCATACCTTTTACGATAAATATTTCGTATATCAACGTACAGTACAGTAGTTAAATAATTTATAATAAATCAATCATATGACTTGAAATAAAGCAGAATTTTAACAGAGGTATTTCTATTTAACCATACGCCAGTCGTACAGCTTTCAGATATGCATCATATGAATAAATTTGATGATAGAAGTTCAAAATTAAACTTTGTGAGCCGCGATGTCTGAGGATGCATTGAATTGTACTGTCCAACATTAAATGTGAGCTCCACATAAGTAAGCCTCTTTAGCGCATTTTCTCATTTATGAAAAAATGCACTATCTAGTCTATTGTGCTCGCCATGTCCGCCTGTCTGTCCGTCCGTCTGTCTGTCAGTCCGTGACTTCATGTTTTCATCGACGAGAAAATGCGTTCTCTAATATTAGACTTTGTCCGTCTGTCCGTCCGCCTGTCTGTCCATCCTCTGTCCGTCCGCCTGTCTGTCCGTCCTCTGTCCGTCCGCCTGTCTGTCCGTCCGTCTATCTGTCAGTCCGTCTGTCTGTCAGTCCGTGACTTCATGTTTTCGTCGACGAGAAAATACGCTCTCTAATATTAGACTTTGTCTGTCCGCCTGTCTGTCCGTCCGTCTGTTCGTCCGTCTGTCCGTCCATCTGTCCGTCCGTCTGTCCGTCCGTCTGTCCGTCCGTCTTTCTGTCAGTCTGTGACTTCATGTTTTCGTCGACGAGAAAATAGCTCTCTAATATTAGACTTTGTCCGTATGTCCGTCCACCTGTCTGTCCGTCCGTCCGCCTGTCTGTCCGTCCGTCTGTCTGTAAGTCTGACTTCATGTTTTCGTCGACGAGAAAATGCGCTCTCTAATATTAGACTTTGTCCATCTATCCATCCGTCCGTCCGTCTGTCTGTCCGTCTGTCAGTCTGTGACTTCATGTTTTCGTCGACGAGAAAATACGCTCTCTAATATTAGACTTTGTCCGTCTGTCCGTCCGTCCGTCTGTTTGTCAGTCCGTGACTTCATGTTTTTGTCGGCAAGAAAATACGCTCTCTAATATTACACTTTGTACAGTAACCGTCTGTCCGACCGTCTGTCATTGGGATCGGTGTGCTTGCTCGCTGCCAGCCGCAGATAGTTTGTAGCGCATATTGCATGGTTGCCAAATGCACTCTTATGGAGTTTCTTTCTGTTAAATATAAATTGCTTTTTCGGATCTCCTGTAATTGATTAAACATGTACATATGAGCAGAGTGATACTAACAATGCTTATAAGTTATAATGGTTATTTTTTATTACTGCGATTAATACAGTTCATGACCATTTCTTATGAATTAAGTCCATAGGAAGTCCATTGCTAATTTTTTGGTTTGGACAACCAATAGGCGTTTAAGAACGGTTGGAGCGGTATTCTTTTGACTTACCCAACCAATCAGCTGCGTAGCGGCGATCAGCCGCAGCCTGCAGCACGTAGCGCTGCCGCAGTGCCGCAGCAGCCCGCAGTGGTGGAGAAGAATTCGTGGCAGAAGGTGTAGTGACCTTGACGCTCCAGTTATGACAGAGCGCTCCAATTTCCCAAAAGCTCATGTTCTTTTATTTATACTATTACTATAGAATGCCACCATGATCCTGGCGTATGCGTACATACTTACCTGGAATACCTTGATTTTTTTATTGTTTTATTGGCGTACACTCATTGTTTTATTGGCGTACACTCAGCCACGCTACGTTGAAGCCTCCGGCGTACGTGCTGCACCATCCTGGGTATGGCACGTGTGTTTGTGACGATTGCCAGGCATCAATCATAAAGTACATGTGCCTGTGTCGATCATGCAGCATTGCCGACGGTTACACTTCCGTTTTTAGCAAGCATATTGGCAACTTTCTTCCCTGGCGTACTGGCGTACATCCCAAAACGAACCTCCGGCGTACACGCCATAGTGGCAAAGCAGAGAGTTCTTTAGACTCTCCCTCAAGTTCATTTTTGAGTCCTATAAGTAGACCAGTAAAGTATCATGGATACCAGCTTTATCATACTTAAGAAATTGGTTTAAATCTTGATTGAATTAGGAAATTAAAAACGAACTGATTCTAAAGAAGCTCTGGTTTGCCACTATGGTACACGCTGCACCTTCCTGACCATGGCTTTTTTATAAGTGAACTTCCATTCTTAGAATTCCAGCCTGAATTACCGCATTTACCCTAACTAAATTTTTATAATAATATTGCATAATAAAATTGATGGAAAATACAATACTAGTACAAGAAACAAATGTCTAATGATCAAATTAAGTGATAACAACAAGAGTTAAATATAAATAATGGTTTGAGCTGGCTCGCAGGCCTACTCCTACCTACTACTGCCTCTTCTCATGAAGAGAAGAGGAGGGGGGAGGGGGCCGAGGGGCGAGAAAGCCAGCCGGGTTCTTGAAAATTAAATTAGACACTTAACTTATATACGCGTAGTAAAACGGTAGTATACAGAAAAGCAAATTCAAAATCAAGTTGAAAAATGTGTGGGACTGTGGGTATTTTGAGTATTACGTTAATCACGGAGGAAAATTTTACGTTAATCTCAGAGGAATTCTAGTAATCACAGTGCACAATCGTAAGGTGTTTACCGGATGAACGCCGCTGACTCTCTCCTCAGTCCTCACCGAAAATTACATTGCAACCTTAATTGCCGAATTGTGGTCTGTGGATCATACTTTGCAGCCTTATCCGACCAACCGGAAAACGGAAATTTTGAAAACGGTGCTGCCACTAGTGTACCTCCTGTTCCGAGGTTAGCGTCACAAAATATTCACATATAAATATATAAAATACAATAATTTCATTCTAAATGTATTTGCATTGGCGATCTTCTGAATGCTTAAATTCTAACCTGAACCTGAAAGAGCACTACGACTACGGTAGCCAAGATAGCCAGCCCCTCGTCTTCACTCTTCGACACGACACTGAGTAACTGACAACCGTTGTTCAGCCTTTGCCAACAGGACGTTGACATTCAGGGGCTGCGCAACTTCGAATAAAAACAAAGATTCGAAGCAATGTGTCGTTGTCAACGGAGTAGAGTCGAGTACAGTTGATGTGGTGAGCGGTATACCTCAGGGGAGTGTCCTTGGTCCCATATGCTTCGTTCTGTATATCAACGACCTGCCCCGTCATGTCCTGAGCCATGTGGAGCTCTTTGCTGACGATACCAAGATCTTTGCTCGCAGTGACGACGCAGTTGCCAGAGAGACCCTTCAGGGTGACCTGGACCGGCTGTACAAGTGGTCGACAGACTGGCAGCTGCGCTTCCACCCCGAAAAATGCTGTGTCCTCCGTCTGGGAAATCGAAGCAACAGCACCCAATATAATATGATGGGTAGAGATGCTCTGGGCAATGAGTATGTAACGCCGCTGAAGGAGAGCGAATCGAAGACGAAGAGAGACTTGGGAGTGCTAGTGGATGGAAACCTAAAATTCAACCTTCATGTGGCTCAAATAGCTGGGGAGGCTAACAGAATTTTGGGCGTTATCAGGCGCACTTTTGATTTTCTTACTCCGGAAACATTCGTTCAGCTCTTCAAGTCTCTTGTTCGGCCAGTTCTGGAATACGGACACTCAGTATGGCAGCCGCGATACAAGACCCTCTGCGCCGACCTGGAAAATGTCCAGAGAAGGGCGACCAAACTGATCGCAAGTCTCAAAGACATGCCTTACCAGGAGCGTTTGGTAGCTTTGGGCCTGCCTAGCTTGGAGCACCGCAGACTGAGAGGGGATATGATTGACGTCTTCAAGTATGTCCATGGAGCCTACGATGCCGACCGGCCGAAGCTGCATCCTCACCGCGGAAGGGATACACGAGGTAATAGCCTGAAGCTCGCCAAAGAACGCATAGAAATGTGAGATCAAGCTTCTTCTCCCAGAGGGTGGTGTCAGTATGGAACGGCCTTCCGGACAGCGTCGTAACTGCCCCCTCTGTGAGCGCTTTCAAGAGCAGGCTTGACAGTTGCTGGGCGGACCGACCGGGCCTTTTCGATCCTGAGTGCTACCATTAGCCTTTCAGTTTGCAGTCACCTGGGGTGCACCATCTGCGCGTGTAACCTAATGGCGGCGGCTATGCTGAGGGCGAACAAGGCGGGTGAACAGGCTTGAGTGCCTACTACACCGACAATTCAATTCAATTTAATTCAATTATTAGTCAGGGTTTAGTTGTTCCCGACTTGCATTTTCTAGGCTAGAATAAAGAGTATAAAAACAACGTACAGGCTCGTTTTTGAAGGTGACCCCACTATCCATTTTAACAGACCTCACTAGACGGCTTCTAACGACGCACTGGCGGGCGCGAATGAGAAGATAGCGGCACCTAACACTGTCATCGTGTAGAGGCTTACTTGCTGGATAGTCACCAAGCGACCGACACTTGCCGGATCCACCTGCCGCCTGCACTGCCCCGTGTACAAGCACCTTAACAGTCATTCTGAATTTCTGAGTCATATAACAATCCCAAACTTTGCTTCTCAAGTAGTGATCCACCCGCTGGCACAACCCGCAATCCAGAAATGAGATGTCGCGAAGTTCACGTATGTCACAGGTCTGGAGAATCACGTCGATACTTTTGAAACCGTTGACTAAGTTTTGGGCAATGCTGCCCGTAACATGCATACCCACCTGCGAGGCCGAAATTGCTGCGGGTCTGCGGAGAGTAATTGTCGCAAATCCCTGAAATCATAATTAATGGGTACAAGTTATCGTATTTGGAAGCTCAAAATCAAGCAAAGTTCATTCTGGTGAATGGTGGATTGCCACAGTGAACGGCTCTGGGATCGATAACGTTTCTCATCCACGTCGCCGACACAGATGACCGATAACACAATTATATAGTATTAGAACATTGAATATAACAAAATTAGTTAATCATTTCATTGCATGTGTAAACTGATAGGTGTAAAAGCATAACAATATGCTATGCTTCGATCGAACAATATGCTTCTATTCAAAGCATATTAGAATAGAAGTGTCGGCGTTGAAGACATAGGCCCATGGCCTGTTGCCGATCAAGTTTCCACTGTTATAGTTCTACTAAAAATGGAAGTGAGAAAAATCCGACAACTCGCAAGTCTGTGTGATGGGGATAGAAGAAATGCATAAGAAATATATTTATAATTGCATAAGAAATGCGCGATTCTCAAGGATATGAGACACTAATCTTCAATATTTCTCAAAATGAGGGAAAGTCGGGAGTCCCAAAGAGTGAAAATATTTCTTATTATATAAGTCGCAAAATGAAGTACCAATTCTCCCAAATCACTATGTACCGAAAAATTAACATGTCACAATAGGTACGCAACCCATTCCACAAATGTTTTCAAGATTGAAAAATATAGATGAATTACAGCATTAACTTCATTTTTCGCAAATGGCATATTTAGCCAGGAGGTGAGATAGCAGGAGGATATGAGGGAACCGCATATTCCCGAAGTATAACGTGCTGTCTAACAATTGCTACAATAAAAGAATCATTTCATTATTTATTGTTGGAGCGTGTTTCTGTTATTATTTTAATTTAAAATAGATTTTTTTATAGAAACGACTTATAAGGACTTGCAGTAAAATGATCGCTACAGAGAGGGTACTGCATGAGTTGAATGAAATGCGTACAACTATTAGTGAGCCAACCACGCTTTAGAGCACGAAGCAGCCGTACTACAGGTCCTAGGGTACTGTCCACCCCCGATTTAAATAAGGGGTTATGGAAACGCATAATTAAGGGGTTATGGAAACTAGGTCAATTTCACCAGCATACTGCGTAAGTGCATCGACATTTGGACGTAGTCTCTATTAATCTTTAGGGATATATTCAGTTTGAATGCCCAGGCGGTTAAGATTATTATTCTCTGAAGAATAAATTTCGACGTGGCGGGATAATGGGGTAGGTGCAAGTTCTCTCGGGGAATATACCAGGTCTGTTCGAGAAGTCTACTGTAGATTGAGATCTGTATTGTACAGAAGCATAACCTTCCTCCCAAAATCGAAATATGGATATGCACCGACATGGTGAGCTGATGTAGGAACTGTTACAGCTATCAAGCGTAATAAGGCCGATCTAATTGGTTGTAGTAGCGGAGTGGTACCAGGATGGTTGGATGGAGTTTTCTTGGAATTGGAAGCTGGTATGATTGGGAAAGTATGTATAGTTCGTGGTCATTGTACCATCTAACGCAGCGTCATAGATGATCCAATTAATTCCCTTAAAGCTGGATGCTATTAAGGGAATAAATTAATAATGATAATCAAACTTTTGAGGTGAATTTCAGCTGCGTGCGACGAGACGCGAAGCTTCGACTATGCCTTCGCCTTGTTGCCCTCTGAACTGGGCTTTTGTCGTCGTCATATATGTTGGAGATGCAGTAAGTGTGTAGGTTTAATGCCAGATAATCCATCAATTTTTGACTAATTACATCGTAACGGTATAAGTTTCTTTTGCGGAAAAGAGGTCGTAATGATCTTGGTGTTCTGTTCAGGTACTCCTAGTTGGAAGTGAAAGATCTATGATGCATGCTCCAACAAATCATTGTATCGAAATACCCACGTATGGATAAGTCTTCCCTGAACCTCTTTTCTCGTGCAGCTCTTTGGTTTCTCTAGCGCTGCTGTTTGGGGCACCGGCATAGTGGAGAAAATCCTGCTGGGAATGATGAACGACACTGAATTGCTAGAAGTCGGCGCAGAAAACTTCCACGTGCACAGTAAGTTTCGTAAGCTTTGTTGGCTTGATGTAAATCTCTAAGTTTAGACTGTAGAGATAGAAATTGCTTCAAACATAGCTGTACTAGGTAAAGAGCTATGTTAGCAGCCTTTCCACCGCTTTGAGCTAGCTGATGAATGACAATTTAAATTTGTTTCTGCAGTGTCGTCGCTGGCGCTAGCATCCAGTGTACTCTACAGCTTGACAGGCATTTCCTCGATGATTGCTGCTCTAGGCGTCATGTCGGTGAGAGGGATATCTTTTAAAATACTATTGCCTATCCGTAAACATCGATAACTGGTCACATCGCACGGTAAGGATGAAACTTGCATTCAGTTTGCCCAGATATGTCTGAATATGGTATTTTAGCCTGATTAAGTAACGATATAATTTTGAATTTCACAAATGCACAATCAGTTTCTGGATTGATTTTTAGGAGAGCTTTTGAACGCTGACTACGGGAAATTTTTTAAATAGATTCAAATTGGAGAAACTTTCTACGCTATGGTTGTACCTGAGGCGGGATGGATATCAACACTTGCAACGAAAGCAGACGAGATTGCAGAACCTCGTCGATTTATGCACATAGTAACACGAAGTTTACTGCTATATCGTTAATGCCTTTACATGCTTCCCCAGGGTTTCTACGAACTTCAAATTCATCACTTGATCATATCATTCATTAGGTTCGTTGGGACGATTTTCATATGCGAACTGGTCATATCTATTCAATACAATACATTCATCTACGTATGTTCGAGGATAATTTTGTATGGATGCGGCTTCCTCAACCTGGTTCTTCTATTCGTCATATACGCATCGTTGGCTGCGGTGAGCACTTTTCGACATGTTGAGATTTAGTAGGGTGTCGGTGAAATTAAGTGAATGCGGTAAATGATGAAAATATGTCTTGAACGCTTATTTACCCAACCGTTGCTGCTTCCACTATGATTTTTTTTTTCGTAGGAGTATCAGCGATGCATGGAGGAAATAGATGGGCAAGTAGAGCCCGAAATACGACCGCTGACGCTGCTCTTCTCGAGGTGCCTGGGCTCTCGCTCGCGTTCGTCGCTTTGTAGACGAAGACCGAGCAGCTCTGAAGATGCTCTGGAAGTAAATTTCGATGCAACTGATGGCCAGGTCTCTTCGGGTAACAATCTGAACCTGCCGAAACAGGATCTGCATCCATCTCCAGCTCCTGGACGGCGACAGGAAAGCCTTGCTCGTTCTGTTACTGAGGATTTGGAAGCATCAGATTTTCAAGAACATGTTGATGGCCGCAGTGATCACGTCAATGTGGCAAATGATGGCGAACACAGAACCCCGGCAGCAGAGACAGACAGCCAGACTAGTCGTGGCAGTCAAACTGACGAAGAGTCTCAAAGAGATGAACAGGAGGATCCTCTTGTACGTGGATGAAAACACCCAGAATGAATATTAACAAGTAATTAAATTATATGTTGATCGTTGATAAATTATACAGAATTTTCCTGACGTGTTTAGTATCCTATAACCGGGTGGAATTCGCTCCGAGTGTAAGAACCTATACGGAAAGTTGGATCGTAGGGACGAATAGCATCAGCCGTGGTGTAAACGTTGGAGTGCGACCAGCTAGGTTGGGTTCCTGACTGCTAATTCATTCCAGAGCAACGCAGTAGTTGATTGCACTTCACTACTATAGAGTACGGTGTAACCTAACGTGGCATTTCGACGGTGTGGGCATGACTCAGTTCAAACGTTCAGATAAGTAATTACAATTCGTTCATCGCGTGTTTGATGTGTGCTTGCGCATTCAATTGAAGCAGTCTTCAACCTGAATAGCAACTAAACATAATAGTGCAATAGCTGGATTCTTCCCATTCGATTCGATTCATGCGATTCAACCCATATACCAATTGAAATATATGGCATTTCAATATTTTAACAGGGACCGAAAATAAAATTTTTCTGCTGCCTGTCTCTTAAAGTGAAAGATAACCAATAAAAACAGGTTTTTCGAGAATCTGGGGTAATCTCACAATTGCCAAGTTACTTTTTTCGAAAATAATAAGTTAAAAACAAAAATTGTTCAAGTTTTCGGAATTTTTTTCCGCTCCAAAGTTTCATGAATATTTCAGCGTTATTTCCGGATAGAAAGGAACTTTGTTATCCTGACGCAACCCAGGATTCTTCAAAAGCTGGTAACCAAACAAATTAAAAGGAAATTGATTCACTTGTACAGTACTTGGTTCAATAACTTGAAAAGGAACGGAATCCTATGAACTTATGCAGCACATAAAGGTGACAAAAAGTGACTTCTTACAGCGTCCAGAGACATGAAGACCGACATCGTCTTCCATAAAAGGCTGTGCTTCATGGCGCCGCTACACAGCAAAATCTGGGCCAATGGAATTAAAATCGGTCTAAATATTCACTGATGTACTCTTAGTGAACAGTAAAATAAAAATTTACTTGAACTCTGAAATTAAATTAATGATTAGGAGGGATTCAAATGCTTAAATATTCAAACACAAGTACGCACAATTTCGATGGATTCTTACGAAAATTCACAATTTCGATAACGGTGTATTTTTTGGGACGACGCTAATTTATTCATCATTTATTGCTTCACCGTACAAAATAAGACAACAACGCTTTCGAAGCAAGTTATAAAAACAGAAATTATTACACTTTGCTGCTTCACTAATAACATTTTCACACTTTTTCGTCCGAAATACAATATGGGGCGATTGGCCTCCATTTACCCGGTACAGTTTTAGCCCAATTCAAAAATTCTACTACATTTCCTTCCTTCACAATAATGATGGACGATAATGATGATTTTATCACAAATAAATTTGCAGATATACACTAAATTATAGAAATTTATGCTTAATTAACTTTCTGGAGCCTAGAACACACCATAACAATCTTCTTCTTTTCCAAGTAACTTATTCTGTAATGTTACGTTACAGAGAGTAATGAAGAATATTAGGGCCGTAATAATGAAGAATATTAGGGCCGTAGTAATGAAGAATATTAGGGCCGTAATAATGAAGAATATTAGGGCCGTAGTAATGAAGAATATTAGGGCCGTAGTAATGAAGAATATTAGGACCGTAGTAATGAAGAATATTAGGGCCGTAGTAATGAAGAATATTAGGGCCGTAGTAATGATGAATATTAGGGTCGTAGTAATAATGAATATTAGGACGTAGTAATGAATCAATTTACTAATTTCAATAATAGTTCTTCCAGGAACAAGTTTGATTTCGTAATTCAATTTTCAAAGTTGGCGCGAAAATAATTGCAATATACGGTTAAGGTTGCAAAAAAATATTTACGCTTTTAAAACTTATCAACTAAAATACACTATTGGAAAACTTAGGTACATGGTTCCATGTTTTAAAGCAGTCGAGATCAACGTATATGCATTCAAGAACTTAGATAAAAATATCGATTATCACTCATCTAATGCAGGAGTATAATTCCTAAATAATTTATAGCATTGAGCTCAAGTTCTGAAACTGATCCTATGATTTTTATTCAGTCAACTGGCCTTATTATAGGCACAATTTATGTTTTTCTGGTTTGGCCAGTGAATTTCTCCATAGTTTATTAGTACAATGGGCTCCTAGCTCTGTGATTTGCAGCCACTTCCTGAAGCCGATAATTGATATTTATTGACAGGACAAAATTTAGTGTTTGCGAGCGACATAATTTATATGGCGCTTCACACAAGTCAAGTTTATTGTCAAGGTACAAACGAGGTCTGCCTCTCAATGAGATGATTATTGGGAGCTATAAGTGGGAGTCGCGCTGCCTGGCATCCAGAGATGCGCAAATGAAGGCATACATGCGCTGCCTTCAGTACTCGATACTGCAATTAAATTCAAGGTATGATGAATATATATTCAAGTGATGATGAATATATCAACAATGCAGCGAAAAATGTCTTCTTTCTATGCCTGCCGCTCCCACTGGAGGAAACGTTCAAAATGAGCATCTAGTTGACGGAACATGGTAATTATAAATGAGTATACAGCGTTCGCTGATAACTTAATTTTAAAAGACGACTATACCCTTGCAAATATAGAGTATAATTATAATAATGCCTAATTATCGATTTTATCTTATTTTAAATTCAACGAAGCCAAAATAAATGCCATTGTACAATTTGAGGTAAACGCAGGCTTACCTCGCATCAGAGTATCTATTTAATTTTTTTATGCAAATATTTTTGTCTGCATGTGCTTGTAATATATCAAGCGTATGTTCTATTCTCTTCGGACAAGTCAAGATTATTTTCTTTTAGACAATAAAAATGAGAGCAATAATTTTCTGCGTGCCACGAAAGAATGAAATTACTGCGAAACTAAACCCAAGAAGCTATTAATTCTTTTAAGAAATTAATAGGCCTCCTGCTTCAATTAGAGCTGTATTCTTAACGAGATAAGTTTTAAACTCTCTTTTATTGTATCTGATCTATAGGTACCAACTGAAAAAAATTTAACCGTGTGATATCGATAGATTCAATTGCAAAGAATTCTTGTTTGCGAACAAATAACTCAAAGTATTGTTAATGAGTGTAAGGGATAACTTCTCATTATCATTAACTGCATATCTTTCATATCACTAAAAGTTCTTATTAAATATAAACTCATATGAAAAATTTCCAGCAAAGTATCAATTCAATAAAAAATAACATAATCTAATTTATGTTTATAATATCCGAATTTAATTCGAAGTTCGCACAAAATTGGAGCTGGTCGCCAAGACTTAATAAAGTAATGGAAATCAGGCGGAGCTCATGAAGACATAATTTATAAACGATTTATTGTTAATTGATTAATTACTAGAGTGAGATAAACAATCATAGGTTTCGGAAATCGTTTATTACATTGAAATATACTCAAATGTTTGGAGCATTGGTAAAATTAGGAATGAGGTTTTTAAATTTCAGAATCCAATTTTCTAGACGTGGAAATATGGCATACGACACGTTGCTTAGTTGGGTAAATGCAATATTTTAGATAATGAATCTAATCCAGATATTTTTCGGAATTGGATGCTCTTGTTTTAAATTAAAGACCAGATGATAACGAACAAGATTAATACTTGCCTGAGAATGTTCTTTCACTCTTTTTTTCGTTTTATCACTTGTAAGCTCTTATGTAAGCTCTCACTTAGTTTAAGCGCGCCTTATCGAACATTTTAAATGGTATACTTGAATTAGTTTCGAAGGCACAAACAAACTTTTTAGGAACAAACTTAGTTACATAAATGTACAGAAAAATTGTCTTCTACTTGAGCGACACTGCAACGTTTCGGCACTCAAGTCTTAAATTAAATCCGTCAAAATGGTTATCATTGAAAGTCGGCTCGTCATTAGCTAGAAATCTTGCAGGGCTTTTCACTATCGATCTTCAAGGCCATTTTCTACACCGCGCTGCTGACCCTATTCTTATTGATGATTCTTCTATATAATCGTTTGCTGACCACAATCCTCTGAACAATCGCCAATGTTCAGTCAATGATTTTAATTTGGATTTTGAATCCATTTTTTGTGCGCTTGAGTGTGATTGGTTCGCCACAACCTTACTGGATGTCATGGAAGAGTTGTGGGAGACCTCCTACCGTCCACCGAAACTCCACCAATAACCCTGTCAATATTTTGGAGTGAAAATTTGAGGGGTAAAATTTGTGATTGTGTAGCGCAGCGAAACTATGTGTTGCCAGGCCTATTTGGACGAGGCTTGTGGCACCGCTCCATTGTAACGCTCCCCGGCTCCCTGCAGGCCCAGTCTGATGAACTGGTCGTTAACTTCACCAAAATGATGCCCTTTCGCAAGACCAGCTAGACTCGACCGTGTAATTCCTACCAAAAACTACATCACATTACGACGTGTCTCTCACCTGCATAATTCCTTTTCTACGGGCGGACACTTACCATGGTATTCGTACCAGCGCAGAACACCACCAGAGTCTTTACCTCGACTCCAGTAATGAGCCTCCTCCATGGAGGTGCTATTTACGCTCTAAGAAGATAGGCGTTTATTGAGAGCAAATGCTAACGATGCTCAAACAGAGAACTTTTTGCTCCTGTTCACTTCGACAGCCGTCCTCTCTTCCAATTTGCTTCGAATAAAATTATAACTATGGGTTCGTTGTCTATTGTGATTTAGTAAACAATAAGAAATTATTTCTTAATATTGACGAAACATTTTTTATATTAATGTTATAAGTTTATATATCTAAAATCGTAGGCACGGATTTGATATTTATGGACCAACTGACGTCTGATCGATCGGTTTCAACAATCAGCAATCTGCTAATTCTTGCTTAAAGGAAATTTACCGTTTCAAATGGCTTAAAGCGGATAAGAAACTAAATTTAGATTTCAAATTTTTTATGCTTGTTTCAAACCTAAAAAAATTTATTGCTAACCCACATTGAAAACACTTGCGAGGATACCGAATAAATTAATTGTAAATAATGGCAAATTATCGAAT